GCTAATATTAAGCTGCTAATATTAAGCTGCTAATATTAAACTGCTAATATTAAGTTGCTAATATTAAGCTGCTAATATTAAACTGCTAATATTAAACTGCTAATATTAAGCTGCTAATATTAAACAGCCAGAAAGTCTTTTCGTTCCTTTTCATACTTTCGTTGAAAAATAACAAATTCACCAATAAAAAGATGCAAAATGTACTGAAAGAAATCTTTCAATAGACGACTTTTCATTTTACTTATCCCATTTCATTGCTTACCTAATCGCTATTTACCCATTTGAATACACTTCTACTCTCGGGAACTCAGCCAACATTTAAGCCTTTAACAACTTTGCAAAACATCTTTCAGCTTTGCGAAGTTGCTCTTCAACTTTCAGCTGTTTCTTTTTCAGCTGAAAGCTTCTTCCACTCTGAATTAGATTCCATTTCTAAGAATTTTCAAGAAGGAAGCTCGATTTGGGTTCACCCAAAAGACCCAGCCTTTTTCTAGTGAAAAAAGTGAAAAGAAAACGAGTGATAAATGAAGGAAAGAGCTGATCCCCCGACATAGGTACTTTATGCTCATTTATGGCCCTTCAATGTGGGTTGAGGTGGGACACCATGAAGGAAAAAAAGGAAAAGTCAAACTATGAGATATTTCTCAGAAAAGTTTTTTTTCTTAATCAAAGCTTCACGTTAACTTGTTTCAATTGTTAAGGACGCATGCTTCAACTAAAATTCCGATCATTGGAACTAAAATCAACATGTACTTTTCAGCTATACTTTCTGTAATGAAGCAAAACAAGACCTGCAAATAGCCGCATCACCGTGCTTTTATAAATTTTAATCAAGGAAACGGTGAAATAAAAATGAGTGTACTTAAGAAACTCGAAATTTCTAGTTTTTGCTTTTCTATTCTTTTCTATTGTTTCAGATTGATTGTTAGGAAAAGGACTTGGTTTAGTTAAAGGTTTAGTTCTTAGAGAGTTTAACTTTTGAGTGCTTTTTGACACTTAAAAGTCAATTCATTCAATCTGCTTTCCTCCAGTTCTGCTTTCCTTTCAATCAAATGTAAATTTGACTAATGTTCAATTTGTTTTCATTCAATTCAATTTGACTAACAGGCTGTTCAAAAAGTCTTTTCTTTTCTTTTCTGACGATGATAGTCTAGAGCTAATGAACTCAAGCTGACAGACTAAAGCTATTAAACTGAAGCTCTTGTTTAGCCAGTTTCCAGTTTAGCCAGTTGGTTCAAAGAAAACAAGCAATCTGGAGATCCAAACAAAAGAGTTGCTCAAGAATATATCCAGCATCAATCCAATCAGCCATTCTACCAAGCTGTCCAAGTCTTTTCGTTCCTTTTCGTCCTTTCGTTTGCAAACCAACAAATGCACCAATTGAATTACGGTTTTTTTTCATTAGACTTAAACAGTTTTTGATTAGAATGATGTAATGGCTGAATTAAAATGTTCAAACTTCAGCGCCGTACTCTAGTCCAGCCGACAAGGCCAGATCAATCCAAGAAAGGACAGGTCAACTGAGTAGCCTATATCAGAGTAGCCTATATCAGAGTAGCCTATATCAGAGTAGCCTATATTTGGATCCCAGATTACGGGTTCAGGCACGCTATATTAGGTTCTCTAGAAAGTCTTTTCGTCCCTTTTCGTCCTTTCTTTTAAAACCAACAAATGCATCAATTGAACTACGGTTTTTTTTATTAGAAAGGCTTAGGGTGATAGCTAAAAGAATACAAACTTAACGGTCTAGCTCAGATTAGCTCTTTTGCTAGCGATTTTAGAGAATCACTATGTTCCTAGCTGAAAAATGGGTCAAAAATGAACTCTAGAAAAACTAGCTATTGAGTTATCTTTGTAAGCTAAAGCGTTTGTTGAAAACACCAGAATTAACTTTTTAAAAAAAAACTAATGGCTTGCCTATAAAATTAAAAATTTGCAACTGAAAATCAAGCCTTTTTCTGAAAAAATAGTTGCTTGGCTTTGATTTGGCGTAGCTTGGAAAAGCCTGGAAAAGCCTGGAAAAGCCTGGAAATGCCTGGCTTGGTCTGAGCTCGATTTGAGCGGTTTCTAATCCAACTCTACCTGTGATTCTATTGGTTTTGTGCAAACCGAAACCACAAAAGCCATTTAGACAAGTTCGAAAGTGGCAAGTCTCAAAACTTTCCAATAGAATCCACTCTTAAACCTCGTAAACTTTAACTCTCTCAAACCGTAAACTTAAACAATGACACTATTAAGTTATTTTTGGCTAAACACAATTTGGGTTCAAAAATCCCAGAGAAATGGTGAAATTAAAATCGAAAAAACCCTCGGGTCGATGCCTTCCGCTTGGACATATTGTTTCCATTAGGTGGTTTATGTCTCCGCCTTTTGGAAAACCGATCATTCGACGCAGGGAAAGAAGCAGAAAAAGGGCAAAATTGTCCTCACAAAAGCCCACGCACTAGCTTTTTGTCTCTTTTTTTTTTCCGGTTTTCTTGCTTTTCAATGAGTATTTTTCCTTGAGCGAATTGCTTTCTGGAATTTTGATGACTGACCATGAGCCTTTTCCTTGAAAACATGCCTGATTTCATGAATTGAATATCTTGATGTTGTGCTGGTTCTGCATTCAGATCTGACGGCATGATTCAGAATTTCTTTGTTAAGATTCTTGAAATCAAAATTTGCCATTGAGTTGCCATTGAAGTCACATCAGCTCTTTTCCTCTAACATTAGCTTTAACTGTAACTTCAATCTCTACAAACTGTACACAGTTAAAACTTTCAAAAGACCACGATACTTTACAAAGACCACGAAACTTTTAGAAGACCATGATACTTTCAAAAGACCACGAAACTTTTAGTAGACCACGAAACTTTTAGAAGACCATGATACTTTCAAAAGACCACGAAACTTTCAAAAGACCACGATACTTTTAAAAGACCACGAAACTTTTAGAAGACCATGATACTTTCAAAAGGCCACGAAACTTTCAAAAGACCACGATACTTTTAAAAGACCACGAAACTTTTAAAAGACCATGATTTAGGGAAAGAGCCAAGATCAATAGAGACAAATTTTTCTTCAACTTTATATCTAAAAATGGGCAGAACGAGTGATCGATTCAATATTATCAAAAAGGTTGAAAAGATAATGTAGAAAAAAATAGGTGAGCCACTAGGAAATTTGCAATATAGTAATTTGCATTTAATAAAACCGAAAATAAGAAAAGCCGTAAATTTTTTTCCTTTTTTTGGAAGAATCTCAACAAATGGCTGCTTTGATTCGTCTTTCGCTCAAGAACTTTTCGATTATTAGAACTTATCCGTGCCATTAACATTAACTTATCCGTGCCATTAATATTAACTGATCCGTGCCATTAATATTAACTGATCCGTGCCATTAATATTAACTGATCCGTGCCATTTGTTCAGTTAAATGTTACCTTTTTGTTATGTTATTGTTACTTATTTCTTGCGTTATTGTTGTTATTTTTATTTAATTTAGATTCAATTTAAAAAATCGGAAATAATAAACAGAAAGAAGTCTACACCAAGTTCAGTTGAAGTATTGATTTTCATAATCTTTTCCTCACATGTTAAAAGACTTTTGTCCATCAATTTTTGGCTCAATTTTTGTTTTATCAAAAAGGTCATGACACCTGATAAATTATCAAATCCATCTTTTTGTAATGTTAAAATTAGAGATAATAAGCTCTTTAAATCTTTTAAACGTTTGCAAATTGGTCGGATTTGGACCAAGATATACAAAGAACAAACTTCTAAAAATCAAAGTTAAAAGACTTTTGTCCATGACTGTATATGCAAATTTCCTAGGTACGTTGGGTTTATTCAATCCAATTCTTAGCCCGGACCTTTTTCTATTATCCAAGCCGCCCTCATGACAAAACTCAAACTTTTTCAATTCTGACCGAATTTTCTCTTTCACATGAAGAAATGTGAATTCGATAGACGGGTTCTGGAGATTTTCGACTTCGTCGAGAAATGCCTCTATCAGATACAAATGGGTGACGCCGTGGAGGCTGATCTTCTCCCAGCCATGTAGCAGCCGAAAAGCCCGCTCGAAGAGAGCAACATTTCTAAGGAATTCGTGCTGATTTTCTCTCTTACACAGTGAATATTCAATCTTCAGCTCATTGGGAAAATTTCGACTCTAGCACCAAACTAGACATTGCAAAAAGACGGATTTGACATATATGCAAATTGCTAGAGAGCTAGTGACCCCACCCTAGCATCAAACTAGACATGGGAAAATTCCAACCCGAACCTAATTCCACCTTCGTTTTCTTGGCCGATTCTTGGTTTATTGCTCTAAAATTTTGTGTACAGATAGAAATTGATATTTCCAGCTTCTGGACAAAAATTCAGAGCAATCGGCTAAGAAATGGCCGAAAAAACGAAGGTGGAATTAGGTGCGGGTTGGAATTTTCTCATTTCTACACTAAAGAATACCAAAAAGTCTACAGAATACCAAAAAGAATCGCGTCACGATAATTTCTTAGTCATTCTTGTCACGTCTTTCTTAGTCTTTCTTGTCACGACACTCTGTAGAATCTCGTTTTGACTATCTTGTTGTCTTATCATTCTTCTCATTGAAGTTTCTAGAAATTGCGAGAAACCTTTTGCCTCTATTTCTTTTGAGATTACTCTTTGATAAACTGGTCCCTATGGGAGCACCGAGTAAAGACAACAGAAGTGAATGAATTGAAGCTCTAAGCTTCACCTTTTACTTCAAAATTTCGAAGATTCTTTGTCATTTCTAAGATTTGTCGGTATTTTAGGGTAAAGTAACCGAAAGTTAGATAAATTTGCCTATTCTGCCTATCCTATTTGCCTATTTGCCATCGTTTGAACGTTTGTTTCCGTTTTTGATTCCGTTTTTAACTGTGCTTTCCTTTTTTGACTGTGCTTTCCTTTTTTTTACTGTGCTTTCCTTTTTTTGACTGTCTTGTTTACACGTTCATCTATCAAATTGAATATTTTAGTGGTTACCGAGCAAAAATGGATTTAACAACACTGAGTCCGTTCGTTGATGAGCCATCTTCTTCCGCAATTTTGACCACTCCATTTCCCACTGGGATCACACAAATTGTGAACGGTTCAAACGGTCAAAATGCCTCGACGTCGAGTCTGCCCGAGGACATGGTTATGAGCGAGGTTTGATACTGTGGCTGGATTGCTGTGGCTGGATTGCTGTGGCTGGATTGCTGTGGCGAATTGCCACTGGAAATTTATAATTTCCCATTTTAGAAATTCAATATGTAAAGCATATTGCATAGATTAGAGATAGATTGCATGCAAATTTCGGGGAAGTATAACGGTAAAGTATCCTTTAAACTCACTTGAATAGGCAACTTGATCACAATAAGTACCGCCTAGACCAGTCGGACAAACGCAAGTGTTGCAAGTATTCGGATTCGTGTAGCCTCATTTTTGCAAGGAAGTGGTGGACCGCAATGTGCTAAAACTAGCGAAATTCATGCGAAATTTAGAAACGCATTAGCCGATAGGAACTGTGGCGAATTGCCACTGCTCTGCAGTTAGTCAAAATTCAATACACAAGTTAAAATTCAAAGTTGATGGATAAACTACCGCAATCAGCCACTAGACGATATTCAGTTGTCCGTTTGTCGTAGCTTGTGTACTTAAAAACCCATTATTTAAGCTTTGTTTGAATCAGTTGTGGGCTCCCTTTTCTATTCATCCCTTTTGTCACACGCAAGTGTTGAAGCAATTGTGATAGTGCCAGATTGCTCCAGTTTGAGCGAAGTTTGCCCTAATAAGGGAAAGTTTTGATAAAGATTTGGTTCCTTTTCGGTATAGATTTGGTTCCTTTTCGGTATAGATTTGTTCCTTTTCTCTACAGATTTGGTCTCTTTTCTCTACACGTTTGGTTCCTTTTCTCTACAGATTTGGTTCCTTTTCTCTATTGTGCGTTTTCAAGACATCTACCATTGAACCACACCGAGACACGGTCTCACAAGAAATTTTAAAGATCAAAGTATAAATATATTTCTTACAATTGCATAGAAAAGCCAAATCTTCAAGTAAAATTGCTAGATAAATAATTTAGCTGCTCTTCTACGAATGTGCCGGCATCAGTGGAACATTGTTGAACATTTTGGTGCTTTTCATCGCCATTCGACACATCGATACAGATGACAAACCGAGACAAGTAAGCTGAATTGTTTAGCTGAAGTTCTAAACATTCAAAATTTCTAGATCCTCATCATGAACATGACTTTTGCTGACCTTGTCTTTTGCTTGGTTTACTGTGTGACACGGCCGATGTTGCTGCAATTCCCTGTTGATTCGTGTCACATCTACTACACGACGATTTGGACGATGCAAATGTGTAGCTGTGTGTACCTTTTATGGTAAGTTGAACAAGTCAAAATAACAAAAGAATTAAGAGACACGGATAATCATAAAATTTCGGTAAAAGTAATTTATTAGGTAAAGTAAATGTTACAGGAAAGTAAGTCTTAACCCAGCAATCAACTTTTTACTTGAAAGGATCAAAAAATTAACAAATGATGATTCTCAGGAAGAATTTCTACATGATAGAATTGTAAAGTTCGTTGGGTAATGTTAAATTTCAAGTCTGACACAAGTTCTCTGACACAAGAAAAGCAAAAGTTTGATCCTGGGAAGGGATTCGAACGCCCGCAGGCTTTCGCCTTCAGGTTAAAGGGATACTCCGATTAAAGGGATACTCCAGGGATACTCCGATTAAAGGGATACTCCGGTTAAATGGGTAGGTTAAAGGGCCGTAGACAACCGCGCTTCTGACTGCGCTACGGCGACAAAAACCCAATCAGAAAAACCCACCGTTGGGCGGGGTTTTCAGCTGGTGTTAGATCAGTCTTGCTGTTGAATATTTTGAGCTACACATAATTTTACAATACTTTCAGGTAAGTGAAGAATTTCAGGGATTTCATTTCAGGCTAAACGTCGACAAACTCCTTTACATTCAATTCCCGCTTCACTATTATTCGATGGTGAGTCGGAAGAAATTTCTTTTATTGACGATCGCTACATGGATTTGCCTCGTCGGTTACGCTGCAATTATGAATCTGACATACAGTATTGGGGTAAGAGTTGAATAAAGCTCAAAATCTTATGTCTTCTTTTAGAATAGCTGCGTCGAGGTGATGTTCAGCGACTACAAGATGTACTTCGTTATGTGTTTCTTCTATTTGGTCGTCATTGTTGCCTCGTTTGCCATCTCGGTGGTCATTTATTGCATCGCTCAGACGACAACGAGAATGGAGCACCGAGCGAGAACTGTAAGTTATAAAATAACTCGTAATATTTGCAAGACTTATAATATTTATGAGCTTTCCTATAATCTAACATATTGGTCTTGTCTTTCTAATCTTTTAATGATTAGAAACTTTTCCGAACTCTGACTTTGGTTCTAGCGTGGCTACGGTAGCCTGTAGCCCAGGTTGTGGATGTTACCGTAGCCCAAGGATTACAGCCTGTTACAGTATTGTTACTATAACAAGATTACTGTAGCAGAAACTAACTGGAAGCTAACTTGAAGATCTCTATAAAGATCAAATCATGTAGATCTAATCAAATGAGAAATTCTGTAAAGTCGATTTTTGAAAAATCGCAAATCTTTCAAAACCCTATAGTTTGAGAAATTGTTTTCAAACAAATTATTAGCAAAAAACCTTCCAAGGAATCTTATTATGCAAATTTTAAACAAATAAAAGCTTTCAATAAGACTTAACCCAAGCTACGCCCAATTGTATTCCTATGTCTAGCTTGCTAACAGATAACCAGCCTAATCAACTAAATATTCAATGTAATCACTAATCCACTAATGTAATGAATTAGTTTAATCAACTAAATGGATTAATTTAATCAAGTAATCCACATCAAATTCATATTCTCAGCTTTATTTTCTTAATCCAGGGTCGTTCATCTTTCCAAGCGGCTGACAATAAGCCTGATCAGGTAGTGAAGGAAAATGCTTTAATTAGCTTTCTTCAAAAGGTTTTAATCTGTAAAACTTGAGTTAACTTGAGTTAACTTGAGTTAAACCTTTTTGTTATGGTCTAAATTTGTTTTTTTTCAAAGTTTGAAGTTTATTTTGTTCAAATGCTTTATTGTGGTCCCGATTTGTTTTCTCTCCCAAAGTCGATTGTGCTTGTGTCGTTGAAAATCGCTTGAGAATTAGTTTTTCTGACCAAAACCAGAATATTTTCGTATTTTCTATTTTCAGAAGCTTTTCCAACGCTTGTTCTTCTTGTTTTCTTCGACAATGTGGACGTTCATCACATCGGTGCCTTTCAGGGCACTCTACTTGGTGAATATGTTTGGTAAGTGACTTGAGGTACGACACTTGAAACTTGAGTTAAGGTACAACAAACAGGTACCAATGGGAGCACGGATAATCCCTGCACCTTGGCCATGTGCAGGGATTATCCGTGCTAGCTTTATTGCAAACCTGGCCCGTAAAAGGTCTTAGGGAAACCGGCTAATCTCTGACCGGGCATCAGTTCAAGCTCATCTCTCGGTCCTGGCTCTAGTCCTAGAAGATAGTCTTAGCCCTAGCCTAGTCTTAGCTCTCTTAGTCTTAGCCTAAGCCTAGTCTTAGCCCTCTCAGTCTTAGCCCTAGCCTAGTCTTAGCCCTCTTAGTCTTAGCCAAAGTCCAGCAAATGGAGTTAGTCAAAAGTGTATAGATTCTAGATCTATCTAGTAGAAGGCTGACCTCGATTTGACTAATTTGACTCTGGTTTTTTTATTAAAACCTTTCTATTAAATTTAGAGAAAACCATAGGTTAATTGGTGCATTTGTTGGTTTTAAACGAATTATGAAAAGAAAACCCAATACAGCCTGGACAGTCTAATACAACTCATGGAAAAGATGTTCATACTGTAGTGAGACGGATGACAGCTTCACAGTAAGGACGAATCTATTTAGTTGGTGGCTACAGCAACGTGACTCTGCGAACATTGACAGACATCTCATTCAAATTGTTGGTTGGAGGCAGTGTTCTCAATCCGGTGATCACCATCGCCACACAGAGAATCTATCGTGTCCGCCTCATCAAATACTTGGGGCTTTTTAAAGAGGTTGGATTTGAATAGGAAATGCAAGCAGCTTCAAGTAATGGAGCTGCATCAGTTGCCTTCAACTTCATCAGTTGCCTAACAGTAAGGCTGGCTTGCCTAACAGTAAGGCTGGCTTGCCTAACAGTAGGGATGGCTTGCCTAACAGTAAGGCTGACTTGAATGCTTGGGTTGATAAGTTCTCAAATTAGCTGTGTAAGAGTTAAGAGATTTAAAATGTAATAGCTGACTTTTGGATATCTATAATAGCTGACGATCAAAATATTCTGCAAGACTGACAAAATTTGCAGGTTGTTTCGAAGAAAAGCACATCAATCTACGAGGATTCGTCGATGATCGACAAGCGGCGACAATCCTCGAAAACAACAATCATTCTCGAGAACACACCTCTAAATCCGCCCTCAACTGCCCTATAAATTCCAATTTATTTTCCAAATTCAAATCTATTCCTCAAATGAATTTGCTATACAAATTTAATCCTTTGTTTTGACCAAAGAACTCCACTTCTTTTCCTGATGATCTCACTGTCAATCGATTCATATCATTTTTTGAAATTACTGGTTTCAAAATCGTATAATTTACTTCAAATCTTGAAATTTATAACTTATTTGTAAGGATTTTAACAATGATGATCTCAGAATTTTTATTTTTCTACGTTTTCTTTTAGAATGCGAATAAATTGAAAGCAAAGAAAGTATAAAAAGCAAAGAAAGTATAGAAAGCAAAGACAGCAAAGGAAGTAAAGAAAGTATAGAAAGCAAAGAAAGTATAGAAAGTATAGAAAGTAAAGAAAGTAAAGAAAGTATAGAAAGTAAAGAAAACAAAGAAAGCAAAGAAAGTAAAGAAAGTAAAGAAGTACAAATTTTAAAAGTAAAAATTGAAGAAGTTATAACTATTAAAGAACAAGGAAATCAAAGTATATATGTCGTAGCCGCTGACGAATTTCAGCCGCTAACGAATCATTCGTTAACGGCTAGCCGCTAACGAATCATTCGTAATCGGCTAGCCGCTAACGAATCATTCGTTAGCGGCTAGCCGTTAACGAATCATTCGTTAGCGGCTAGCCGTTAACGAATGAAATTTTTTCGCTAGCCGTGCACAATTGTAATCGTCTTCCGTGAACATGGCTCGATTCAAATGAGCCTTTGATTTCAAACTATTTATACAAAACGCAAATCAGCAAATTAATCACAACAAGTGAAATAAAATTTATAACATTTAACATTTATAACATTTAACATTTATAACATATTAACGTTTATAACATAATAACGTTTATAACTAACAAAACATCAACTAAAATGCATAAAACAAACTGTTTATTTGTTGGTGCAGGAATTACTGTGATGACATCGGCTATTGCAGAGCATATTGGTTTTGAGGCACACACATCGTCCATTCGTGCATCCATTTGTGCAATTGCAATTGCGAGTATTTCCTTTGAGATCCCGTGATAATCTCCTCGCAGTTCTTTCCACATCAGGTCCCGGCCGGCGTGTCCCAGTCTTTTGTGAGTTGACGTCAAAACATCGAAGAGTTCCTCTTTCTTGACGACTCGTTTTGGCTGTTCGTTCTCTCCTTTATCTCCATGATTGTAGAGTATTTTTGATTGCTCAATACATTGAATCGAGTAACGACGTGCCCAATTCGCCTCTTCTCTCGTTCGCTTCCGTTTCTCGCTTTCACTTTCACTTGACATTGTTGTCAATCTGTTCGCAATTTCGTCGTATTTTTTCGTCGTTAGTATATGCGTTCGCTTTTTCAGAATTTGATACGCGTCAAGTTGGTTGAGAAATGAATTCATCCTGAAAAAAACAAATATAATAAAGCAAGTATAATGAAACCAAAGCATAATAAAAAAGCAGAAAGAAAATTAATCCGAAATCACTGATAACAATGAGGAGGACTCGTCCCGGAGGACCCAATCTCAGCAAAGGGGTATTTTGAAAACTTTTAATAGCTCGCTTCAAAATCAAATTTTTTCTCTTTTCTTTTTTTGTGTAAAAAATTTGAAACCAAAAACGTGGTAAGGTCATTTGAATCTAGCCATGTTCGCAGAAGCCAATTACAAAGATTTCGTACACATCTAGTGAAAAAATTTCATTCGTTAACGGCTAGCCGCTAACGAATGATTCGTTAGCGGCTAGCCGATTACGAATGATTCGTTAGCGGCTAGCCGATTACGAATCATTCGTAAACGGCTAGCGAAAAATTTCATTCGTTAGCGGCTAGCCGTTAACGAATGATTCGTTAGCGGCTGAAATTCGTCAGCGGCTACGACATATAGATACAATTTTAGGATAAAAGGATAGAGGGGATAAAAGGGAAAAAAGATTACTTTTCTGGGGGATGAAAGCTGAACATTACAAGTAGATTAATGTAAAACTTGTTTTTTTTATTTTATGACTTTAGTTTTGAGAAACAAACTTACCTTAAACTGCAACTTTTGGTTCTCAATTTACAAACCTTTCCATCTGAAAGGTACTAAAGAGAGTAGACAGTATTGTAGTGCTTTTAGACGAAGTAATAGGCCAAATCTTCTAAAATTTGAATAAAATTACACTAAAAATACAGTTTTAGAAGTTATACACGTTATCTAATGAATTAAAGCCATTTTATAAACCTATGAAAGACTACGGGTTGGGTAGAGGTTGTTCTCTCGGATTCCGTGCTGTATCACCTAAAAAAACTAGAATTTATATCCAAATACAGTAAGTTTACTTCTTTTTTCTTTGTCCTTTACTTCAAAACCTCTGTTTTCGACTTCATAAGTTTCCCTACCCTCGCTCGTATCAAAACATCTTGCTAAAAAGCTGTCAATCAACGATTGTTTTAAGATTGAAAAGCCTTATCAAAGCTGTCAAATTTGTTCACAAATAAACCAAAGAGCCAATTTTGTTCCTCGTTGGACACATCCGTTGTGGTCTAGTGGTTAGGATTTATGGCTCTCACCCATAAGGCCCGGGTTCGATTCCCGGCAACGGAATAAGTTTTTGCTCTTTTTGTAAATCAATGGAAATTAAGATTCTATTATGGAAGCTAATCCGTGGAAATTATTTTAGATCTGTTTTAAAACTTATTAATCTACTGAATTACCGGTTGAAACGGTTTCGTCGAATGTACACGAATTTTTCCCAAACGTTTGCAAGCCTTTCTGAACGCCGATGGAGGCAAATTTGAATTTAATTGTTAATGTTACTGTTATATGTTGAATAAAGATATTTTAGTTATTTAATTTAATAAAATATTAAAGGGGGGGTATTAATCGCGGCCGGGTGACGATAAAAAATTTTTTACGGCAACCACCTGTTTTTTTATTTTAATATCGCTGATTTTATTATAAAAAGAATAAAAATCACCCGGCTAGAGTGATTTGATGGGTTTACAAATTTTTGGAGACACTGCAAGGCTTGGAGAAAAACAAGATCGTCACTCATCAGACACCTCAGCTAAAAGGCACCTATTTGAGAAAACTAAAACCATAAGCGACCACAAATGAAAAAAGATTGAATTGTGTCAATCAAAGCGCTGAAGACGCCCTACGATGGAGAAGATCCAGTCACTTTTGGTGAAGATGCGCTGGAAATTGATAAGATAGGAAGCCGATTTGTACTGCTGTACTTGAGCCGAACTGCTGTACTTGAGCGAAGATGAAAGTGAGCAAGAGGAAGAATTATAGATTAACAATTTATTTTTATTGCTTTTTGTGCTTTTTATTTTGTTTTTAAATTTATCTGCAATTAAAACTCAATCGATCTAGACTGTGCTGATGAGTGACGATCTTGTTTTTCTCCAAGCCTTGCAGTGTCTCCAAAAATTTGTAAACCCATCAAATCACTCTAGCCGGGTGATTTTTATTCTTTTTATAATAAAATCAGCGATATTAAAACAAAAAAACAGGTTGTTGCCGTAAAAAAATGTTTATCGTCACCTGGCCGCGATTAATACCCCCCTTTAAGTAAAAATTAAGTAAAAATAGTTTAAGTTAACTTTCCGAGATGGTTTGCATATTTGGTTAAAAGCTAGGCCTTTTGTGTGTTGCGGTGATTCTTGGTCACCCTGGACTCCCTGGATTTCTTGGTCACCCTGGACTCTTGGTCACCCTGGACTCCCTGGACTTCTTGTTCACCCTGGACTGAAATCACTGAAATCGGTGACTCCAGTGAAATTCATTTCATTCATTCATTTTAGCTAGCTATCTAGCTTAATTCATTCATCTTTCATTTTAGCTAGCTAGTTGAAAGCTGTTTTTTACAAACAACCACTAGCTTTTAAGGCAAGTTTTATCTATCATTTTTTATTATTCATTCACTAGCCGTGATTTTTTTTTCACTTACCATTTGACTAATCGATTTTTCATGTTACTAGGAATGTCTTTTTAGAAGAAATGATTTTATCGAGAGGCTTTTTTAGCTTAGTTTTAAAAAAACTAGTCTTCCAGACTTTCAGTCATCAGTGTTTCAACTTTAGGATAAGGTAAAATACTTCAAATTCTTTTAAAGAAAATTTTATTGATCTGATATTGATGAACATTTTTACACTTTTTAGTAAACAATATAAATGTTGCGTTCGTTTACGAACTAAACTTATCCTTGAATCCGTTTTGGACCTCCGTTTACAAATCAAACTTATTCTTGGATTCGTTTTGGACGTCCGTTCACGAAGCAAACTTATTCTTAGCTTCGTTTTGGACGTCCGTTTACGAATCAAACTTATTCTTAGCTCTGTTTTGGACCTCTGTTTACAAATCAAACTTATTCTTAGCTCCGTTTTGGACGTACGAATCAAACTTAAATGTTAATTTGATATTAATGAAACTTCAGGCATTTTTAGCCTTGTCAAAAAATAAATTTTACGTGATTGTTGATCAAGCATAATTTTGCGCATTTTAGTTGGATTCCACGTTTTCATATTTATCATTGTTTCAATTTAGAGGACATTGAGGACCTCGCTCGTATCAAAACATCTTGCTAAAAAGCTGTCAATCAACGATTGTTTTAAGATTGAAAAGCTGCCTTATCAAAGCTGTCAAATTAGTTCACAAAGGAATCAAAGAGCCGATTTTGTTCGTCCTTGAACAGGTCCGTTGTGGTCTAGTGGTTAGGATTTATGGCTCTCACCCATAAGGCCCGGGTTCGATTCCCGGCAACGGAATGAGTTTTTGCTCTTTTTGTAAATCAATGGAAATTAAGATTCTATTATGTTAATCAATGAAAATTATGGTTGAGGTGAACAGTCTTACTAAAGAGAGTAGACGGTATTGTAGTGCTTTTCAACGAAGTAATAGGCAATACCTTCGTCGAGTTGAATAAGATTACACTATTCTCAGTGATTATAGTGCTTTTAAACTAAGTAATAGGCCAAATCTTCTAAAGTTTGAATAAGATTACACTAAAAATACAGTTTTAGAAGTTATACACGTTCTCCAATGAATTAAAACTATTTTATAAACCTATGAAAGACTACGGGTTGGGTAGAGGTTGTTCTCTCGGATTCCGTGCTGTATCACCTAAAAAAAACTAGAATTTATATCCAAAAACAGTAAATTTACTTCTTTTTGCTTTGTCCTTTACTTCAAAACCTCTATTTTCGACTTCATAAGTTTTCCTACCCTCGCTCGTATCAAAACATCTTGCTAAAAAGCTGTCAATCAACGATTGTTTTAAGATTGAAAAGCCTTATCAAAGCTGTCAAATTTGTTCACAAATAAACCAAAGAGCCAATTTCGTTCGTCCTGAACAGATCCGTTGTGGTCTAGTGGTTAGGATTTATGGCTCTCACCCATAAGGCCCGGGTTCGATTCCCGGCAACGGAATAAGTTTTTGATCTTTTTGTAAATCAATGGAAATTAAGATTCTATTATGTTAATCAATGGATTATGGCTCACCTTCTTCAGCGATCTACATTTTCTATAAACAGCCCATCTCTTTACAAAGGCAAGCTTTAAGTAATACTTATGGATGAGTATTCAAAGATAAACTAAGCTATTATAGCTCATTTGATAGCCGTGAATCTCTTCTTGAAAACTAGTAAAAGTTACCAAAGGCTTTCTGCAAAATGAATAACAAACGTCCTTAAAAACTTTAGTTGACGCCAAAATATTCATTAGTATGGCCCACCGGTGGGTCGTATAGTCGTGAGTGTGTTAAAATAGCTAGGTATACATCCAGCGGTTCACAAAAGTAATTAAAATTTAAATTCTCGTATCTCTCAAGGTGAAAGAGATCGGTGGACGCTTACGTCTGAGCGTCTGCAATGATGAAGTAGAGTGTTTGTTTATGATAAATCAGCCAGAAAAACCCTAACGTCGGGTTTTTCTGGCTCCGTTCATATATTTATATATGTTTCTATATAGGCGTTTTGGTTTGTTAATGCTATTTTGATTTTTATTATTTGAATTTTGAACACTTTCTTAATAAAGGTTGCATATTAAATAATTAATTATTAATATTACATAAAAAAATTGGCTAAATGCTTATCAAGGAGTGACAGTTGAATTAAAATTGAAAAATCGAGCAGATAGTCTGAGTGAAAATTATGAAAACAGCCGAAAAATCAATCTAAATGCCTAAAGTTGCATTTTAATTCGTAAATGGACGTCCGAAACCGACCCAAACGTCCAGCTCAGATTCGGACGTCCTTTTACGAACTTAAGAGTTTAGTTTAGTTCGTAAATGGACGTCCGCCTTCACTATAAACATTAGTTTGTAAACGGACACAGCATATTTAATAAAAACTTTATTCTAGCCATTCGTTGATTCATTTTGATGAGGTGTAGAGCTGAGAGGCCAAGCAACGAGGATCCCATCTGAACTTTTCATAAAAGTTTAACGTTAAGATTACTTTAAGTCTTTATTAGATTTATATAGCTTTATTCAAATGTAGGAATTTGGATCAAATTAGGAACCGTATTGTAAACGGAACCGTATTGGAACCGTATCGGAACGGTATTGGAACGGTATTAGATCAAAAGAGGAACCGTATTGGAACAGTATTGGATCAAAATAGGAACCGTATTGGAACCGTATCGGAACGGTATTGGAACCGTATGTGATCAAAAAAGGAACCGTATTGGAACCGTATCAGAACGGTATTGGAACCGTATTAGATCAAAAAAGGAACCGTATTGGAACCGTATTGGAACCGTATCGGAACGGTATTGGAACCGTATTAGATCAAAAGAGGAACCGTATTGGAACAGTATTGGATCAAAAAAGAACCGTATTGGAACCGTATCGGAACGGTATTGGAACCGTATTGGAACCGTATTAGATCAAAAAAGGAGCCGTATTGGAACCGTATTGGATCCAAATAGGAACCGTATTGTAACTGACTTGAATTGGAGAAACAACGAAAAAAAAAGGTTTTTAACCTTCGAATGTTTGTAAGTTTCGAAAATGTTTTTAAAACTTAAAACTTAAACCAACTTTTTCGTCTTTTACATGACCAATTGCACGTCCCGATTGTCAAGTTCGAGAACCACCTCTTGACGGTATTTCGATAGGATTCAGTCGATAAAATCAAGATTACAGAATTCGATGCAGAATGCAAATACAAAAAGATCGATGGTGAAGAAATCACTGAAATAGAAAAATGATTAGAAGTGAATTTCTGAAATTACATGACTCCGGGAGAAAATTGAAACCAAGAATTGCTAGAGCCAGCAATGCGCAGGGTAGAATGATGCAAATGAACACGTCGAGTGCCTGAAAAGTTGTAAATGAGCTCTGGGTAATTGAATTATTGGCTTTGAAGCTAAAGTTAAGCAATTGAATGCTTAGATTTAAATGACTGGGGTAGTTTTTTGCGTAGATCGCGAATTTCATAGTGGGAGCTTGGGAAAATGAGTTTTAGACCAGCGACTTTAGAGGCTTGAAGTCGCCGTCTCTATCGTGTGTTTCACTGTAATGTTCCTATAAGAAGAGCTCAAAATGAACTGAATGAGCCTTTTTTTGAACTAATTTAGAATCCTGCCATACTAACTAAATTCGAATGGAAAATTTGAAAATATAAATTTTTTAAATTTGCGAAATTTTCACTCATGTGGGGTGAAAATCATAAAAATTCGGCATTTTCATTTTTACCTTTCTAAGATCTAATTTTATTGTTTTCATATTCTGGACACTCAATTAACCCAAAGAAAGTGTTTTCGCATGTTGAAAAAAATCCTCCGAAGCCTTAGATCAGCTCTCTTTATACAAACCTGAAGTGCACTGCAGAGGCGACGACTTCGAGTCCTCGAAAGTCGGTTTTAAACGCATTTTCCCAAGCTTTTCATGTTCTGGACACTCAATTAACCCAAAGAAAGTGTTTTTGCATGTTACAAAAATCCTCTGAAGCCTTAGATCGCCTCTCTTTATATGAGCCTGAAGTGCACTGCAGAGGCGAAGACTTCAAGTCCCCGAAAGTCAGTTTTAAACGCATTTTCCCAAGCTCTCACTACGAAATTCGTGATCTACGCAAAAAAACACCCCAGAAATAGTGGATTTGAAAAAAATATAGTTCCCCCAACTTTATTAGTATCGATGAATTGTAAGCTCTATTTCAAATTGAATTATTCATACAATAACTATTGGGTTGGTGAATTGAAAACTGCGGGCTATTGTCATACGTGACAGTTTGAGCAATTTCTTCTAAAGAAACCCATTTTGGTGTCAATGGAAAAGTTGTAGAGAATCAAAAATCAAGCTTATATCCAAATTTTCAGAACGATTCAAAAACTGGTTTTCAAGAAATGCCAAATTTATGAATTTTCACAAAACTTGCAACTTAAGCGAAACTACTAAGTGTATCTTTTTGGAAATTTGGCTATAAGCCTAATTTTTGATTCTCTACAACTTTTCTATTGACACCAAAATGGGTTTCTTTTGAAGAAGGTGCTCAAACTGGCCTGACAGCTGACATCTCTAGTCCTCCATTTTTGAGTCTCACACTTGTCTCACACACAAACCAAAATCCTATTACGAAAGAGGAATCTGCAAATTGCCTGTGAAATGGGCAGAAGTCGTCAATAATAATGGAAATTATTTGGAATGAATTGATGGTTTTATGTTGAATAAATTTTAGTTCAAAGTCCTGCAGTTTTTAATTCACCAACCCAATCGTATTCTACTCCTAATCATTCAAACCCAAACCTGTAACAAAAAAATAAGCAAAAAGTATCGTTGCATTTCGATTGTCTCCTGACTTGCATATCGTCGTTTTATCAAATTATTTGTTTGAGCAATGACAAGATAAGTGAGAAATGAAAAGGAAATACCACAAATGATCAAGATAAGGCCAGCATAGAGAACACCGTAGATTGTGATCTGATTCCAACGAAATACGAGGATTGACGTCTCATTTTGGAATTCAATAGGGACTGGGGTTGAGAAGAAGCTCTAAAAACACTTTCAAACCACAGATAAACAACTATTAGGTTGGGGCATAAGTCTTTACAATTTTTTTTCAATTTTTTTCAAATTTTTGGTTTTATAAAAAAGAATTCTTTATCAAATTTGTTTAAACTATTAAAAAGATCATTTATATTATCATTCTATTATCATTTCTCTACAAAATGGCTTTTGAAAGAAAGCTCAAAAAGATAGAGCTGATTTGATTACATAAGTCTGTAAAGGCTCAACTCCGTAAAAGCTCATTTTATACAATTTTCAATTGTTGTTTTGAAGAAAATGGTTAAACGGATCGCTTTCAAATTTTGCAGACTTATGTAATCAAATAAGCTCTATCTTTTTTACTTTGGCACCAAAATAGGTTTGTATTGAAGAAAGTGTTCAAATTGGCATCCGAGCAGTCATTCGGCATCGGAGCAGTTTTGAGTTCTCACCTTTACGCCTTTGAAAATCCAGAAAAACAACTATTTCCAAGAATTTCCCAAAAGCCATTTTACAGAGAAACAATTAATCTTTTCAATAGTTCAAATGGAAACTTGTTGGTGGCGGTATTATTTTTAAAAGAGGCTTCGAAAAAAATGGTAAAGACTTAGGCACCAACCTAGTACATAGTTTCAGAGTTTTTAGGTTTATTAGACAAACTAAAACCCAAACACGCTGATTTTAGATTCCGAACGAAAAATAATTATTAGATTAAGTATTTATTTGATTTACCTGACACTGTTGATAAGTTCCCATGCAAATTTCTTGATAGTACAATGAAGATCCGATGACAAAAAAGATTCCAATAATATTAGCCACACTGACCACAATTCCTTTGATGTAGAGATAGAAAGCGAGTTTTCCGTTTGGAATTGTGGTTAGTTTTACTAAAGTTTGGTTGATTAATCATTTAACTACTTGGTTACTAATCATTTAACTATTGGGTTGTCCAGTTATGAATGCGCGTTTTTACTATTTTGTAAATTTTTGAAGATATCGAACAGATGTATATGAGTGTTATATATCATTCGAAAGCTGAAGATCTCCTCTACATTTTGGAATAAAAAATTTTTTGAATTCATGCAACTTTTTGGGAAATTGACTGCACAAATGGAGAGGTCGTTTTCGAAAAAACCGATTCCAGCTTAGCTATTCCTCAAGTTTTATGGTGTAAAATAACCGCCCAGAAAAGAAAAGATGCTCTGAAATTGTTATATTTAAAAAAATGTTGTATTGATATATCTATTGGCCAAACATCAAACGGTTAACTCAATTTGAGCGGAGACAAAACTTGATCCAAAGGCACCCTTCCATTTTTTGGCCACCTCTTCTTCTGTGCAGTCAATTTGCCCAAAAGCTGAACAAATTCAAAAACTTTTTATATCAAAATGTAGAGGAGATCTTCAGCTTTCGAATAATACTCATATATATCTTTTTCTTGATTTCGGTATCTTGAGAAATTTATAAAATAGTAAAAAACGCGCATTCATAACTGGACAACCCAATACTTGGTTACTAATCATTTAAAGGGGGGGTATTAATCGCGGCCGGATGACGATAAAATTTTTTTTACGGCAACCACCTGTTTTTTTATTTTAATATCGCTGATTTTATTATAAAAAGAATAAAAATCACCCGGCTAGAGTGATTTGATGGGTTTACAAATTTTTGGAGACACTGCAAGGCTTGGAGAAAAACAAGATCGTCACTCATCAGACACCTCAGCTAAAAGGCACCTATTTGAGAAAACTAAAAACTAAAAAGAGAAAACTCAAACACCTCAGCGCAGTCTAGATCGATTGAATTTTAATTGCAGATAAATTTAAAAACAAAATAAAAAGCACAAAAAACAATAAAAATAAATTGTTAATCTATAATTCTTCCTCTTGCTCACTTTCATGCTCACTACGGTGGAGGAGATCAAGTACAGCAGTTCCTCAAATCGGCTTCCTATCTTATCAATTTCCAGCGCATCTTCACCAGAAGTGACTGGATCTCCTCCACCGTAGGACGTCTTCAGCGCTTTGATTGACACAATTAGATCCTTTTTCCATTTGTGGTCGCTTGTGGTTTTAGTTTTCTCAAATAGGTGCCTTTTAGCTGAGGCGTCTGATGAGTGACGATCTTGTTTTTCTCCAAGCCTTGCAGTGTCTCCAAAAATTTGTAAACCCATCAAATTACTCTAGCCGGGTGATTTTTATTCTTCTTATAATAAAATCAGCGATATTAAAATAAAACAACGGGTGGTTGCCGTAAAAAAAATGGCAAACAGGTGGTTGCCGTCACCCGACCGCGATTAATACCCCCCTTTAACTACTTGGTTGATTAAGCATTTAACTACAAACCTTTATGAATTGCTGAAAACTCCAAAGTCATGCCCAGATTGTTGACGAGTAACAAGAAGATGAACTGAACAAGTCTATATCAAAGCAATTGTGGTCACTGTGGTTAATTACCACTAGTTTTAGTTTAAGACGATACCCAAACTAGTTTAGACACGTACCAACAAAACCAGTACAACTTGTGGTGGCATTGCCCATCTCGTAATGCTGTAAAGTGCCCCATTTGGTATCATGACAATCACCTGGCAGAGACCGGCGAAGATGTCACATAGTTGAGATGAGATCTGTAATGTGATTGATTTGTACTTTGTTGTCTAAACTGGCCAAACAACACCACAAATTGTTGTCTTGTTGTTTAGCAATAATTTATTTTAATACAGGCAAAAATATTGGATTGGTGAATTGAAAGCTGCCGGCTATTTCGCGGGACTCGCAGATAAAAAAACAACAACATTGAACCAGCTGAAAGGCGGTTTGGTTACTTCAACATTTCCTCAAATTATTGCGAAAAAATTGTGCTTCCAGCTTTTTATTTTTTGGTATTTTTTTTCACTGCTTCTATTGCACTCGACAATCTGCCACCGGGACATATTCGTCATGTGCTGCATGAGTTCCTACAAGAGCACCGTGCAGGCTTGGCAGCTGCTAATATTAAAAAGATATATGAAGAGGATTCACCAGTTTTCAATTCACCAATCCAATACAATGTCATGCAAAAGTCTTGTCCCATTAAGAAAATTCTTATTTTTTCTCTGCTTTTCTTTGTTCAAATGCATTTTTTTGTATTATTTTTATTTTTAGATGTCGGCTTGCAAATATCTGTCAACTCCTGATAAGCAGAAGATTGTGCAAGCCAAGAAAGATGGATATTCATCACCGTCTATTGCGATGCTCTTCAAATGCAATAAAAGGACGGTGAATCGGCTAGCAGCAAAATCGGAAGCGGGCCAAAGTCTTCATAGAGCTTCGAAAAGTGGCCGTCCACCGATTACAACAAAAACTGAAGATCGAGCACTTATCATTGACCATAGAATCGACCCGAATCTGACTTCGAGCCTTGGAATCATGAAGTTGAAGGCCATGTCTAACAAAAATATTTCTCGATGGAGCATCAACCGTCGCTTGATTCGAGCAGGATTGCATGCAAGAAAACCAGCAAAACGACCTTTGACCATTGCAAAAACTCGGAAGCTGAGATATGATTTTGCAAAGAACTACGAGTGTTGGACTTCCGATCACTGGGCCCGAGCCATTTTCACCGATGAGACTAGAATTAATTTATACTACCCAGGCGGTAACCATTTAATCAGAAGACCAATTGGACAACGTTATACGCCGTCTAACGCAAAAAAAAACGTCTAACGCAACGCTCTTCAAATGCGATGAAAGGACAGTGAATTAGATGAAGGGACAGATTAGTCAAAAATCGATTAGTCAAAATCAGAAGCAGGCGAAAGTCTTCATAGAGCTTTGAAAAGTGGTCGTTTAGCGATTACAACAAGAAACGAAGAACGAGTAATCATCAGGGACCATAGAATCGACCCAAATCGGGCCATGGAAGATTTGGCTTCAGGCCATGGAATCAAGAAGTTGAAGGCCATTTAGAACAAAGCTATTTTCGATGGAGCGTCAACAGGCGCTTGATTCGAGCAGGATGCAAGAAGACCAGCAAAGAGACCATATTGTATTGTTTACTTCAGCATCCAATTTTTTTAAGGCTGACAGCTGACATCTCCAGTCCTCGATTTTTGAGACTCACACTTGTCTCACACACAAACTAAAATCCTACTACGAAAGAGGAATCCGCAAATTGCCTGTAAAATGGGCAGAAGTCGTCAATAATAATGGAAATTATTTGGAATGAATTGATGGTTTTATGTTGAATTAATTTCAGTTCAAAGTGCCGCAGTTTTCAATTCACTAACCTCATAATTCTCTGTCGTTGTGGATTAAAATTAGCTCTTTTGAAGCATACAAACTTTGTTTTAGGAATGTAAACTTAAAGCTTTAGAAAAGTGCATTGATATTGAAGTTGAATCAATTAGCATTAACTTAAATCTTAGCTACAAAAATTAAAAAAAAAACCGTGAGGAGGCGTTTCCGTTGAAGCCAGAACTCAAACAAAAATCCTAACGAATACCCGTTTGCTTGGCGGAACTAACCGTTATATTGATCATGTAGATCTTATGGATCTTTGTTGCATGTGACTTCTCATAAATCAACATATACATTGTCACAAAGAAAAGCACCATTGTAGCGAGACTAAAATCAAATTCAACAAACCAAAAACGGCACCAAACCATGACACTTGATAAAAACCGTTGAGAAAACTTCTTTGTAGATCAGTTGGATGATACATTTCATAGAAAAGCTGATAGTGTTAGCTGAGTAAAAAACATTGGACTCTGAAAAAAAAACCAAAAACGGAAACAGCTGCTTTTCCTGGAATAATCATTGCAATCAGAAAAACTCAATTAATTTTTGGTTGGCCACGTGCTGATTGAATTTTGGCTCACGCAAATCAGAAAATGAAGTAAAAAAAGGAAGAGACAATAGTTTGTAAATATTTAAGTTTAAAAATTAATTGAGTAATCAATTGTATAAAAAAAACTGTGGTTACTTGGTTGGATGTAACATTGCCTGTTACTACGTTGAGGAAAAAAAGTCCTGACTCAGCTGCGAAAAATTCAATTTTTATGCGCACTTTAATAACAAAAATAACAACAATTATTTCTCAAAGTATAACCAATCATTATCTACGAATTTCTGTCAGCGATCTGCAAGCTTTCGGATCTGATTGAAGTACCACTCCATCGGTTTCGAATCAAATCTCGAGTGCTTGAGAAAAGCTCAGTGTTCAATTCGGCTTGCAAATCACCATATGACCAATCATTATCTACGACTTTCTGCTTTTGATCTCCAAGCTTTCGGATCTGAACCAAGTACCACTCCTTTCGAATCAAATCTCGAGTGCTTGAGAAAGGCTCAGTGTCCAATTCGGCCTGCAAGTCACCATATAACTCTTCATCATCTACGACTTTCTGTTGAATAGATTTCGGTTCAAAGTCCCGCAGTTTTCAATTCACCAAGCCAATATTTACAAGTGTGCGAGGACTTTTCGATCATCCTGTAGATAACTTGATGCTCATGAACAATCGAACAATCGAATCGGTCTGCAAGCTTTCGGAGCTGATCGGAGTACCAATGATCGGAGTACCAATGACCAAGGAGTCGGAGATCGGAGTACCTCGGTTTCGAATCAAAGAACTCTTGGCAAGCTTCTTCAACTTTCAAATGTTTCCATTTCTCGCAATAGTGGATCAAAATTCAAAGCTCTTTTCTTGCAAACTCATCTGGAATTCAAAATCAAGATTGGTACAACACCTGCTCATGAACAATCGAACAATCGAATCGGTCTGCAAGCTTTTGGAGCTGATCAAAGTACCACTCCTTCGCTTTCGAATCAAAGAACTCTTGGCAAGCTTCTTCCACTTTCAAATCTTTCCAAATCTAGCAACAGCGGATCAAAATTCAAAGCTCTTTTCTTGCAAACTCATCTGGAATACAAAGATCCACCTTGGCACAACACTATACGTACAAAAGACTAGCAAAAAAATACATAAAAATTGAATTTTTCGCAGCTGAGTCAGAACTTTTTCCTCAATCCAATAAAATATAGCAAAATATTATTAATTTCATGTAAAAAGCTATAAATTTGTAATAAAGCTACTTGATTTAAACGTTTTTTTGAATCTTCTGAACAACAACATTTGAGCAAGTGCGTAAATCAAAAAATAGAATGAACTGCTTATAAACAAAAGCTTTATAACTGCTTATAATTAAAAATTATATATTTTAAGAACATGAAACTTTAATTGTTTAAGTTTCGTATGTAAAAGATTATGAAAAAACTGAACATGAAAATCACTGAATCGCTCAAAAATTACCTGTTAATTACAGTGAAAAGAGAAAAGAAAAGGATTCTCAGAAAATCCTTATTCAGACAATTATAGGCCACCACTATTTGAGTGATTAGGCGTCTTTGAAGGTTAAAAAAACGAATCTCAGTTTATTAATTGTCTGTGTTTACCTTGCTTGGTTGGCTTTATTAATACTGGTTTTGCTAGAGGTGATAGCTGAAAGTTGGTGAGCTTGAGATAATATAATAAAAAACATATAATAATATACAGTCGACTCTCTCTATAACGGAATGAAAGGGATCAAAAAACGTTTCCGTTATATAGAGTGCCGTTTTATATAGTTTAGCGTCGGCTGGGACCAAAATTCCATTCCGTTATATAAAGTTTTCCGTTATATAGTCCCGTTATAGAGAGAGTCGACTGTATTATTATTTAAACTATTTAAAAACGACATTATGAAAAAGCATGAACATCACTGAATCGCTCAAAAATTACCTGTTAATTACAGTGAAAAGAGTATTCTCAGAAAATCCTTATTCAGAGAATTATAGAGCACTCACTATTTGAGTGATTAGGCGTCTTTGAAAGTTAAAAAAAACGAATTTCAGTTTATTAATTGTCTGTCTTTACCTTGCTTTCACATTACGTTGCTGGTAATTGAAAGCTTTTGAAAATTTTGAACTTTACACTGACTACAACTTTTGATCGGTGTTTTCTGAACTCATTGCTACAGACAAAAGTTTATTTGAAAGAATTTTCAGCTGGTGGTAGAAAAATGAGATTTTAAGAAGATAGCAAAATCTAATTTAACAATAACAACAAATACAGTGTTTTTTAAATCATTTCAAAGTGTTCACGGTTGATTTGATAATGAAGAGCCGTTTTGAGCGTCTTTTTCTTCTTTTTCCTTTCTTTGAGCTTCTAGAAGCAAAGAATGGCCTCCCATGGATTCTCATTTCTAAAAATCAATGAAATATTTGAAGATAAGGGGTTTTCAGATCTTTTTTTCTAGCTTGTTAGCATTTTAAAAGCTTTAAAAAGAGCTTTAAAAGCTTTCTGAGTGGAAATCAGAGAGTCAGTAAGAATCAGAATCAGTTTCGAGGGCGAAATGCGAGTGACCAAAAAAGGAATCGAGTCACTTTAGGGACAAGTTTAGTGTGGTCAAAATAAAGTTCTGTAAATGCATTTCCGTTAGACTCTTTAATGAATTGATATATACCGTAAATACTGTAATAGTACCCACCCCCCTCGTACAGTCGCGTAGTCGCAAAAGTTTTTTAGTATTTCATTTTTTCGAAGCGCCCGTACTTTCAAAAAATGCATCTTTGGTATCAAAAAATAGCTGAAATTCAGGGCTATTTTTTGATACCTAAGCGCGCATTGTAGCTTAAACCAGTGTCGAGAAAATCTCGTTCAAAGCTAGGCTACGCAACACTCGACACCATCATTATGGGGGTGGGATACTATTACAGTATTTACGGTAGTTATCCTTTTTTTTAAATCTTCAATTTTGCGAAGCTAACTCTGTTTTGACCACACTAAACTTGTCCCTAAAGTGACTCGATTCCTTTTTTGGTCACTCGCATTTCGCCCTCGAAATTTCTTCAATCGTTCGATCAATTGAAACACGTTTTAGCCTATTTTGTGGAGGAGATTTAGAACTTTCATTTACAACTTTCAAATAGTTTATAACATTCATCGATATCAGGTTTCTATCGTTGGAAATTTAATGTTGAAATCCGTATTTCCGAAATCCGAAAATGTTGAAATCCGTATTTCTTATGCATTTACCTAATAGTTGCTCAAAACTGGGAACAGGGTTTTCTGAAAAAGTGCACCTCTTCTTATTGCTACAATTTACTTTTTCTAGCATTCTAAAAAATAAAATCGACTACTGGCTAACTAAAGCATTTCCTAGCACTAACTTTGTAAAGCACTAACTTTGTAACGAACTTTCAAATTGAGGTACGATGAGGCTCCTATAAAAACTGTTTTTGGAAAGTCCAAAAGCTTTGCTTTGCTTAATCCAAAAGCTGAATGCTTAATCCAAAATTTATGAAAATGTTGAAATCCGCATTTCTTATGCATGTACCTAATATCAAAAATGGATTATGGAGGACTGGCTGATCCCCATCCATGGACGAGAATCATTCCAGGAGATCTTATTACTAACCATCATTCTCAGGTAAGTATCATTTTCATTCTAATCAAGCATTTTTTTACACTTTGATTATTCTAGCATCCCAAAAAGATCTGCACTTCTGTGCTCGTTTTCTTTTTTTTGTGTTATTTATTTCTGTGCATTATAAAGCTTTTCACTACTCGATATTTCAAGTTCAGGTTTCTTCAAATAAAAAAATTCTGAGTTTCATCAACGTTTTCTCTCTTTTTTTCTCTGGTTTCTCTGGTAATCTCTCGTTTTCTCTCGTTTTCTCTTTCTCTGGTTTTCTCTGGTTGATCTCTGGTAAAAAAGAAAAAGGTCACAAAAGTGGGTGTTGTGCAATGCTTACGCGATGAGTCATTGTCCCTTTTTCGATTTTTCTTTCGATCCAAACTCTCAAATTTCAGTCCATCGGTTCTTTTTTCGATTCTTTTTCGAACACCGTATTTTCTCTAATAGTATTTATGAAGAAATCAGCATAATAGATGTATCATTTTGAAATTTGTCTTGCTATAATTATTCGAATTACATACAAATTGAGTTTATAGTGTTGAAATTGTTGAATTTGTATGAATTTGCATGAAATTCAACAATATTTCACAACAACATTCAACAATTTGTATAAAATTCAACAATATTTAACAATAATCCTCAACAATTTGTATAAAATTCAACAATTTCAAGCCATTAGATGCCCCAAATGAGCTTAAAAATACCATATTTGCACTATAAATTCAATTTTTCAATGATGCAATAGTTTAAAATTCCCTTCCGGACTGCAGCTCTATTAAAGACTGCAATTCTAATGAAGAAAATACGGTTATTGGTTGGCAATACTCGAACTAATGATTGTGTTTTGTCAAATTTGTTCTCATTTTCAATCCTAGCAACGCAAATCGATTCTTGTGGCATCGTCTCGTTTCTTTCGTTCTTTTTTTCTTTTTCTGACATAAAAGCTCATTTTTCTTTTCTCATAAAAGTTCCTTTTCTTTTCTCATCTTTTTTACTTCATACATTATCAAAATTTAGAGTGCTATTGGCAATCACTTAGCTACTGCTGTTGACTGTTGGAAAACTTTAAATTTTCGGTTAATTCCGAGAGGAATCGTTGATTTGTCTCACGAATGCCGACGATGAAGTTTGTATTTTCTTTCTGAATCAATTTTCTTTCGACTTTTAGCAATTTCAGCTCTCTCTAATGACTCAAATCGAAAAAAACGAAATGTTATTTACATAAAATCGGCTAAAATTAATGCAGTCGACTCTCCATAACGGAATGAAAGGGACCAAAAAATGTTTCCGTTATATAGAGCTTTCCGTTATATAGATCTTTCCGTTATATAGATCTTTCCGTCATATAGAGTGCCGTTAGTAGAGACCAGTTGCATAGACCCGGAAGATCTGTATCTTTATTTACAGTAGTACAATAAGACGAATAGATTACAAATGAGTGAAAGGGGAAGGGGGACTCCAAGTGAGAGCCTCACTTGTCCTCCTAGGCAATCCCAAGGACCGCCGCTTCTCGGCAATGAAAGGGATAAGCACAGGGGAGAACACATTTACATAAGATTAGACCAATCATTCAATAATAATAATAGTAACTAAAATATCAGTTTGTCTCGGAGCTGACAATATAGAGTTTTCCGTTATATAGTTCCGTTATAGAGAGAGTCGACTGTATTATTATTTAAACTATTTAAAAACACGGAGTTATTTTCAGGTTAAACCATAAAACTTGTCAAACAAACGGGAGTGGGACTAATGTGACCTTTTTTTTGCGCACCCGGATATTTGCGCACCTTTTTTTCCGCACTTAGCTCATTAGCGCACCTTTTTTCGCGTTTTAAAAAAGCTCTAAAAGCTAATATTAACCAATTTCTATTCCAAAAGTTGTTTTTCTAGGTAATTTGAGGGTTTCAAATTCAAATTTTGACATAACAGAGCGTGTGGAACCAATTTGAAAGACAAAAGGGCTAGGTCAAATTACAGAAAATTGTTGATTTTGTATAACTCTCTTTGTATAACTCCGTCCGTTCGCTTCCACAAGCTCTGATATGTCAAAATTTCGATTCTACGCCCTAAAATTACCTAGAAAAACAACTTTTGGAATAGAAATTGGTTAATATTAGCTTTAAGAGCCTTTTTAAAACGCGAAAAAAGGTGCGCTAATGGGCTAAGTGCGGAAAAAAAGGTGCGCAAATGTCCGGGTGCGCAAAAAAAGGTCGCATTTGTCCCACTCCCCAAACAAACATGTATTTTTAGAGATGAAGCACCTAATTCCCGAATTCAATGGGAATCGTTGGAGGAGAGCCACAATTGGATTGACTCGATCACTTTACCTGAGATTCGAAATATCGATGAGACTTGGCGAGATTTAGTGCAGGAAATTCAACGAAAAGCTCGCAAAAATTTAGGGAATAGAGAGGAAAAGTTGAACAACGATAAGTTCAAAAATGTTCCAACTCTCAATGAATGGAAAAGTCACTTTGAAAAGTTGTTTTCTGCAAAAACTCCAACTTTGCAACTGCCAGAACTAGCACCAGTTGAGAATTTGGAGTTAAAAATTGAAGAAGAAGACGTTGAGTTTTCACTGAAACAAATGAAAACCGGAAAAGAGGCAGGTGTTGACGATATTCCCATCGATTTTTGGAAGCTCTTCCCCAGGGCAATCAAATTTCTAACCGATTTTTTCATTGCGATACTTGAGAGCCGAAAAATTCCGACTCAGTGGAAAAGGGCATTTATCATGCCAAGATACAAAGGAATCGGTGAAACAAACGATTGCGCTATGTACCGACCGATTCAACATTTATCGCACACTAGAAAGCTTTTCGAGAAGATTTTCGAGAGAAAGTTGAGATCACTCGGCATTGGGACAACGGAAAATCAGTGTGGACATAAAAAAAATCGTGGTGTAAAGGTGGCACATCGAGGCTTGCGCTCTCTACTCGCCTCCTCTTCCCCAATCCACATGGCTTTTTTGGACATCAAAAACGCGAACGACAGTGTCACACCAAAATGCGTTTGGTGGGCACTGAGGAAGCATTCAGTGCCTGAGAATTACATTGATTTTCTCAAACTGATGCTTGTTGACCAAAGCGCGCAAGTTTTTTCGAGGGACCAGCTCAGTGATTCGTTTCCAATTGAAACTGGTTTTCCCCAGGGATCACCTTTATCGAATTTTCTCTTGGTTCTTGTGGTTGATGCGATTACACGAGATTTTCAACGACCATTCCCCTGGACTATTCTTTATTCGGACGATATTTTGTTGGCCGATGAGACACGAGAAGGTCTGGAGTTTCAGTGCACGAACTGGGCACGTAGGCTTGCTGAATTCGGTCTAAAATTCAACGAAAAGAAGGGAAAATATTTGAATACTGAAGACGGAACTGGGGAAGCACTCAATTTGAGAATTGAGAATTGTACCATTGACAGGGCAAAATCGGTCGTATATTTGGGGAAAATTTTCGATGACACATTGCCGACAAGTAAAAAGGATAGAAGGAAATGATTTACTTTTTTCATATGTATATATTGTGCTTATAAAAATTTAAAAATAAGACACAAAAAACTTAAAAAATGTCGTTTGAAAGCGTTAACACAGAAAAGAACACATAGAACATGAATACAGTCGAATCTCATTATCGATTGCCTCTACTAGAGCCTCTCACATCACACACACACAAAAGTACAATAGTTTAAGTAAAAAGAAGCAAAAACTACGTTTGAGCATGGTTTGAGCAACGTTTAATAAACCAATCCCTGAAAAGTCACGTTTTGAGCGGAATGACGTCATTTAGAAAACAAAATGATTCGTAATTTAAGTAAAAAGTGACGTTATATAGGTTTTTTTATTATTAATTTGTTCAATGGATCAATTTGACGGATTTGATCAATCAATTTGATCAATCAATTTGATCAATGGATCAAAAACAATTTGACGTTATACAGATGTGTCGAGAGGTTCGATTGTATATGAGCATCAAGTTATCTACAGGATGATCAAAAAGCCCTCGCACACTTGTAAATAATTCATTTTCTAAAGAAAGCTAAAACAAAATTTGCTGTGTTTTATAGTCTTTTGAAGTTGAAATTCTGAAGTACATTTCTATAAGTAAATCACTCCGATCAGAAAGCCTTTTCAAGAAGTCTTGCTCTGCATTAGAGGCAAACCGGCAAGGCAAATTGATCCCACATTTACGCTTCGGTAATTAGCAGAATTTTTTGACATTAGCCATGTGAAAATTGAAAACCATTTGCATTAACACATCAATCATCAAAAAGGTTCGACATGGAAAATTGGTTCCACATGAGCTGACTCAAGGTAACAAAATAGCTCGTTTCACCGTGTGCTTGCCTGCTTGCTCCATCTTGCTTCGAAAGTGCCAATCACACGATTTTTTTTGACAGAATCTTGACTTCTGATGAGACTTGGATCAGTTATGACAATGTCACTCAAAAAATCAATGGCTCTTCGCCGGTGAAGCCCGGCAAAACACCGCTAAGCCCGATGTCCATGGATCGAAGATCATGCTCTGTTTATGGTGGAATTCGAAAGGATTGGTGCATTATGAAGTGCTAAAACCTAGAAAAACAGTCGATGCAGATCTTTACTCAAAACAACTAGTGAGTGTTAACGAAGCTTTAAAGAAATTGGGAATCAAACCGTCAAGACTCCGATTTCTGCACGATAACGCTAAACCCCACACTGCAAAAGTCAATGATAAAAAATTGAGGAGCTAGGTTGGAAACTTTTGCCTCACGCACCTTATTCCCCTGATCGTGCACCTTGCACCGTCAGATTTTTTATTTCGAACGTTGAAACACTTCTTGGGAGATGCAGAGTTTGATAATCATGCTCAAGTCATAAATAGGCTCCACGTCTATTTTACCTCTAAGGAACCGTTTAGATTGGACGATGCAATCCGGAAGCTGCACAGAAGTTGGGAAGAAGTCATCGATAAAAATGGAGAATACGTTACCGACTCAATGATCAAATCAACTATTTTGGCGCCAAAAATCACCAACTTTTCACAAATAGACTTGCGGACTTGCGTCGAAGGTGGGAAGAAGTCATCGATAAAAATGGAGAATACGTTAACGATTCATCTTTGCTTGTTTGAGTTTTTTTCAATAAATAGTTTTGAGCAAAAAAAGGCCTTGATAAACGGCGCTGATCACGATGGTTTTGGTGCAAAAATGCCAGAATTCCAGCTTCAAAATACTATATAGTAAGTTCAATTTCGGACTGGGTTTGTTAAATCAATACCAAAATCAAATCAATATCAAAATCAAGTCAAAATCAAAAACAATGTTCACATAACATTCTGATCAGTCGTTGTCAAGTTTAATGTTATTTGTTATGTCATTTCGTTTAAGTTATCGTTTTTGTTAAGCTTTTATTCTCATAACAAATGCCATACATCAATGTTTCAATTATTTTCCAACTCTTGGCTCATCTCCGTCCCTTCCACATAACCCCCATCATTGACGAGGACAATGTCATTGTATTGAAGTGTTTTGTAAGGACAGAGAACCTCTCCATCTGTCGAACAAATTGTGAAGTATTTCACTTTAGTTCCACATCAAGTTTAACAAGTTTCTTCATTATTTTATGATCTCGACGCTCGATGGCCATTCGTGCTTGTCGACTCAACGAAAATCCTATTAATCGATTGCCAGTTTGCTAAATTGGTGGCTTATTTTAAATTTATGATCTTGGAACAGTTTTTTGGTGAACACAATAGCTTTGTAGCGATGAAATTCTGGCGCTTTTTCCTAACTCCGCTATCTTCTATCGCTTGCGTTTAGCGTGAAGCTGAATTGATACAGTTATAACTCTAATTTACACAAATGCTTATTTTAATCTATATGCAAACTAGAGATACGCTAGTGGGATAATAGGAAAAGTCTAAATGTACTCATGAAGACATCTATTGATGCAATTTTATGTTGACTCAAGTATCTATGCAAATTAAAGACAGAATAGTGGGAAAATTAGGGACAGGAAATACTCACTGATTGCTTTTCTCGAAACGAATGAATACACTTTCAACCACCATCCATAAAGCACTTGTCTGTAGGTTCTCGTGGAAAATATGAGGATCAAGGAGTTGAAAGCCGAGTGAAAATACATGAATAGGACAAAAGATGAACTGACTGAAACAAATGGGATTGTAAATATTACTAAACAGTTTACCAAACTCTGGTAGAATACTTATGTTAAGCAATGCCAAGATCAGCATAAAGCACGGTAATAAAAAGGTGAAGAATGTGTTAAACATCTAAAATTACAAATGATAAATTGAATATTATTGTCTATATAAGTCTGATTTTCCAATTTAATTAGTTTGCCAATTCAATTGAGCGCTTTAGAGGCAAGTTAAAAGCTATTCACAAGGAAATGTTGACTAGATCAATGGATTTCAACTGGATTTGGTGGCCAAAAGACATGTGCCACAAGTTTAAACGGATTTAAATCAAAAATTTGAATCCATTACACAAAAACCACTTTAGATATTCGGAATCAGCGAAAAACTTTGCTACAAAATAGGCTAGGTTCCACTTCGAAACTCGATGATAAATAAACAACAATTCCTAGTTAGGGTTTATTAAACTGAATCGATAAATTAGTAATTTGAAATCGGGTTTAAATTGCTCACCCAATAGTATTCAAGCTACAGTAAAAAGGCTATAGCTACAGCTAGAAACAAAAATCAAGTTACCTGTAATAAATAGATCAACAGGAAGTAATTCTGCATCTCGACCGTCCTTCTTGACTGTTCATTTTGATCTTTCAAATGACGTGTTCGCATCGTTTGACTAATACCCAGATAGCTTAAAAATAAGCATGTCACAATTCTAATGAAGAAGATAATAGCACAAAAAGAATAAGTGGCGACAAAGATGGGTCCATTTTGAAAGACGAGAACTACTTGTTCATCAACGAAATCACTGGAGTTGATACCATTAAAATAACCCTAGATTAATGTAGAGTTATGCTTAGTAATAATAATTGTAACAATAATAACATAGTAACAATAATTCCGTCACAAATTCAACATGTTTGACCTAGCCTAACACCACAAATCATCTCAAATCAAAAGTTTACTTTAAATCTACTTACCGTGAGCCTTTCAAATATTTCACCAGCTCACCTGACAATCGATGTAACTCCCCATACAGATTTTCTTAAAATAACAACCATAAAATACAACACCAAGCAAGGCAAGTAAACTAGTTGTGCTGACCATTACAGTTTGGATGTGAAGAAATCTCACCCAACGTTTGGATTCAAATGGGGACAATTGAACTGCAAAATCTTTTACAGTAGATAATGAATGATTAATTTTTCAATTTCTTTTGTATGGTTTATGTTCTTTGACATAGTTTAAAATGTCTTTTGACCAGTGGATAAGTACAAAGATCTTAATTCTTTTCGAGCTTCATTTTTAAAACGCAACTTATTAGTAAATAAACCGATGGCGAGGTGAATTTAGGTTTTTTGGTCCCAATGAGCCAATATAGAGCTTTCTGAACCTCGCTAGTAAATAATCTTTTTAGTAAATCGATTCTTTTTGATCTCGCTGATTATTTACTAACGAGGTTCGATTGTATACAAATTATTATTGAGAACCAATTGTACAGGGTGTTCTAAAGCTACCCGAAACGATACAACCAAACTTTATAGAATCACTTCTTCTTAAATCAAAAATAAAAACATAACAATGTATTCTTTAGCAATATGGTTTCCTTGTTAGTACGCAACTCAATAATTTGTGTCATCAGTTCAATACTGGCTAATAATCAGTTTAATACTGGTCATTAGTTCTTTCATTCACCTTTGTATATGGCGGAAAGCTCCAAAGCTGAAAGAATAATAATAACCCATAAAAGATCGATTGCCTAAAAGATAACTATAAATGTTTAGTGGTAGTTGCTTTACAAATGCAATTAATGGAAGAGGAGATGGTAGATAGATTGGAGAAATCTGAAAAAAGGCCCCAAATGGTGGCATGAAAATTGGTTGACTGATTGCTGCGGTGAGATCCATCAGTTGTGCGGATATCTGAAAACGTTTATCTTTTATTTATTTTGTTATTAGAACTAAAGGGATTTAGCTTAGCTATTGGCTATTACTATATACATCAACCACTTGTCTAACGGATTTTTTTGACTAACTCACGACATAGACCCATCTTTGTCTTTGTCTAGTTCAGTCAACAAAAATACTGATACTCACCGCTATACAAAACATGTACTGTCGATGCCTTTTTGTGGCTAGACTTTTGTGTCTAATCAAGAAATACATTGCAAAGAAGAAGAGTAATGTTGTGATCACACTAAATCATTTTGGCTACAAAAAACAAACAACTTACCACAAGCCTTCAAATAAACAATTCAGTAAAAATCTCTGGGCAGCAGTTGGATGAAACATTTCACTTAAATCAATATGTTTAAGAAAATTTTCTTGAAAACTCTAGTCTCTACTTTTGAATTTAAATCATTAAATGTTTCACCTGTTCTTAGTAAATCTAACATCAAAAGGAGACGGGGACGGAGACGGAAAAGGAGAGGAAAAGAAAAGAGAGAAAGGGAAAACATTTTTTTTGATTTCTACTTGTTGAATAATTTGTGTTTTACGTTGATTTTTTGTTTATGTAAGCTGAACTCCATTAGTGCAGTGTAATTTCATTCAGCAACTTAATTAAGCCCTATTTGAGGCCCGCTAGCAATTTTGTCAGCTATTTATAAGTTTGCTTCAAGCAATTTCAGTTTGGATTTAAATTTAAAATTAACATTAAATTTAAGATTAGAAATTTAAAATCAAGTCAAGTTCATATCAGTGATTCTTAATCCACTCAAGTTTTTCCATATTCTCAGTTGATTCCTTAGTTGAATTAACTCACAAAATGCTACAAAGTGATGTGTTTTTTGAGGGTTTATTCGAAAAATTTTTCATTTTATGTTGACTTGTGAAACTCGAGAGCCTCTTTGAGATCTCTCGAACTAACTTTCCTTTTCTGACTTCCATCAAAAACATTTCCAAATTGTCGTTGGTAGAAAGGAATGGAAATGATTTTGATATTTCTTTCTCTAATTATACAACAAGTTTTCACACAATACGATTACACGCAAAATGGGGATCCAGGTATTGTGCTTTAAATTTGAATTGAGAAGTTGATTCAAGTTCCGAGTTTTTGCTCGCTCTGGACCGCTCTGGACCACTAGTTTTGGATAATAATAATAATAATAATAATAATAATAATCAAACTAGTTGCGTTTTCATTGATTTTTCCAAAGCATTCGATTCTGTTAATCGTAGATTTTGAATCGCCAAACTAAATTCAATAGGTCTCCCCATATTCATCACTAATTGGATTGCAAATTGGCTTACCGAAAGGACTTTTCGCGTCCGCTTAGGCTCTACTTTTTTTGAATGACTTCCCCATTGGTAGCGGAGTGCCCCAAGAAAGCGTTCTTGGTTCTCTTCTTCTCCTTATTTATATTAATGACGTTAATAGTTCGATCTCCCTAGACACAAAAGTCCGACTCTGCGCCTTAAAATTTATAAGGTACAGAAGTACCATCACTGCCCACAGAAGACAGAATTTCCAGAGCCCCATCCCTGATTTGACTCTTCTCCAGAAAGATCTTGATTCAATCCTTCCGTGGAGTAAACTTTGGAAACTTAACATTGCGCCGGACAAATGCAAACACTTTACATTTGGTTCATTACAAATCCCCTTAAATTTGGGGCTCCTACAATTATCACAAGGATTGGCCGATGATCCTGTAAGAGATCTTGGTATACTTTAGTTCCCTCCCTAAAATTTGATCCTCACATAAACTACATTTCCAAAAATGCTTCTAGAATTTCTAACATAACACTTTGCGCCATTTGTTTCCTTAAAATCGCGACTTATTGCAGGGCTTTTATAACCTATTGTCGACCTTTTGCTCGAGTATGCCACCATCGTATGGTCACCTTCCATTAAGAAACTTATCACCTTGGTTGAAAATGTCCAACGGCGTTTCACTAAAAAAGCATACACTCGTTGTTTCCCTTCTTCTCTTATTCCAAATTATGGACTAGACTTATCGTTTTTGATTTAAAACCCCTTTTATATCGCCGTATTTACTTTGTTCTTATTTCTTTGCTATAAAATTCTTTTCCACCCTAAGTCGTATCCAGAATTTCAAACCCTCTTGAAAATTGTGGAAATTCTTCGAAGTACCCGTAGTGATCCTTATCAAGTGATCCTTATTTCGGTCGGTTCCCATCCCTATCATCTTTCCCTTTATCATTCTTTTGCGAACCGTATTAGTAGGGTTTGGAATAAGCTCCCGTCCGGTATCTTCTCATCTGTAAGAAAATTGAAAGTATCTTTAAACGAATTAGTTTTTAATTTTTAAAATTTTTAATCTTATTGCCATGTCAAATCTGCCATATATTTAATCTTTTTGTACCTTTGTTTCCTAACTGTACGGGGTACTAACTGTACGGGGTACTAACTGTACGGGGTACTAACTGTACGGTACTAACTGTTCGGTTCTAACTGTACGGTACTAACTGTTCGGTACTAACTGAACTGTACCAACTGTACTATTTATTTACTGTTTTTCCCTTTCTTTCTTTCTTTGTGAAAGTGTTGTAGCAATATGTTATATGCGGTTATGATTATCTGATTCGCTTCTATTCGCCCCCGAATAAAGCATATAATAATAATGAATTGAGTCAAATTTGCAATCAAAATATCTAGCAACTCGTTAATTATTTGGATCTGGCACCATAATTTCCGGTCACCCAATATTTGTCGATATCCTAAAAGAGCTGATAAATAGCCATCTCTTGTCTATATTTATTATCATCTTCAGCTGAATTTTCGAATTACATGAACTCAGCGAATGATCTCTACAATGAATTATTCACAAAAAGAATCTACCACAAGAATTTGTCGCCGGTTTATGGAAAAATTCCCGCAAATGGGACAAGTTTGAAAGATTAGACCAAAAACTTGTTACTCGGTTTATAGGGAGTCCAGTGAAAGCGATGAATGTGGATCTAGTTCTGTACTATTTTCGACTCCTTACATTGGTGAGCTCATTCTGAATTCTTCATTTGTCCAAAAGTTTTCCAGGATGCCGAAAGTCAAATTTTGAGTGCAAGTGTCGAAATTATAATGGTCATTCTTTTCTATAGACTTTTACATTTTATTTATAGACTTTTATAGACTTTTTTATAGACTTTTTCACTCCTTTGATCCCTTTGAACTTTTTAGTTTGGCTGCCTGAGATTTGTTTTTTGTAAACAAAGATAAAATCGTAGAGTTGGAGAGATCCTCGTCTTGCTTGGAACAACACGATTTTTGGTGAGATCGATCGAATTTTTCTCACTTCCGATATTATTTGGACGCCCGACAATCAAATCGGAAACTCGTGGGTTACAAATTTGAATTTGACAATCGAGATTTGACTACAACATGTTAGACAACAGTACAACAGATTATTATTTCTTTGAATGAGTGGTTAACATTTAATAGAACAACTACATTGCGTTTCAAATTCTTAAGCGCACCTTTCAAAATATAGATTTTTGCCTTTTGCATTCCCCATAAATTCTCTATCAAATTGAGGTCAAGAGATCGAGTGGGCCAGTCCAAAGTTACAATGTTGTTGTTCTTCAGTTCCTCAGCTGATCTCGGGTGTCTCCGACTTGATGCATTGACGCGTTGTCGTGATGAAACACTTAGGAAACGGTTGGATTTAGGAGCAAAAAAGGCAGCAAGCAATCGTCCAACATATAGCCAATTCAATCCAAATAGTCAAAACGATGTATCCGATTTGAAACCATCTTCAGATCGACCTACCAGCACAGAAGGCGGTCCAAACCATCACAGAACCACTGCCAAAGTTTCGAGTCCCAAACACCATCGAATCACGTCGAACATCTCTCCAATAGTAGTCAACGCCATCGGGTCCAACCAAATTCAATTTCTTCTCATCGGGAAAGATCACCTAAACAAGAAAAATTAATAGAACATAAGCGGCTTTCTAACCATAGACCAATCCTGATTCATATGAGCCTTCGCGAACGCCAATCGGGCTTTCTTGTGCAAAAGCTTCACGACCGGTTGCATGTTCAATAATTCTCGATCGATATGTGGGTTTTCCTTGATGGCTCGCCAAATTGTCGACTTCGAAGCGTCGATTTTCCGTTCCGTTTTCACTTCATTCATCGTTTTTCCGTGAATGTTTTTCACAATATGGCGTCTAGCTCGTGGTGCCAGCTTTGGTTTTGGTTCTGGCTTCTTCTTTGGTGCAGAAACGGCCGTCGACTTGATATAAGTTCGCACGGCAGAGTCAGCTCCGCCCAAATCTTTTGCGATTTTCCTTATTGAGTTTGCTTCTTCGTCAATCTTCCAACACGCATCAATCTGGCCTTTCTCATAATCCGTGAGCAGCTTTCCGTGTGTCATTCATCTAGAAATTAACAAAAATTACAAATTTAATAATGTATACAAATTTAATTTTAAAGTATGCTAATTTTTAGTGTTTTCCAGGTTTTAAAACACGCCCTTTTTAATAGAAAAGAAATAATAGTTGAGCCTTGTTCAAAATTCCAAAATCTTTAAGAATGGATACGCTTAAGCATTTGAAGCGCACTGTATCATTCCAATTTGAGAAAATCAATGACATCGGTGCATCCGGATGGACTTGCTCCACTTACGGTGTACAGCAATGGAACCGTCGTCTACCCTCTGATTTGGTATGCAGAAGTTGGATGCAACATCAACGTAAACCAATTTTTAAATAACTGCATGACTTGTTTAGGTTAATCGCTTTCCCTTTGATCAGCAACAACTTTATCTTTCGATTTTGTCTTTTGCATATAAGACGTGAGTGTAGTGAAGACATTTGAGAAGAGTATGACGATGAATGTTTCAGAGATCTCATGACAATGACTGGGAAGACAAAACTGGACAAAAATAGACTAATGGCAAGTGAAATGCGGCTCCAGCTAACAGTCAACAATTCAGGGTAATGGAGAATGGAATATTGTCGACATTGATACGGCGAGTTTTGTGAATGATGATGCAGATGTTGTAAGTGTCGATGATTCGGCAATTATGGGTTTTTTCCTGGGCACTTTTATTAGGTTGACGGGAAAATAATGCGAATTTTTAACTTGTGCTCTTGGGAAAGTAATGGCAGAAAAACAGAGAAAACCGCGATACTAACAGAGAAGCCGAGTGTTTTTTCTTACACAATCATAATATTATTCGAAAATATTGGTTCATTTGTTATCAAAACATGACGGAACAAAGATTCCTGATTCGAGCTGCTTTACTCAATGACTTTAAGCTTGAAAAATCTGCCCGAGAATCACATAATTTTATTTCAAAGGCCTATGGCGAAGGTAGTATTAGCGAAAGCCAATGTTATCGATGGTTTGAGCGATTTCGAAGTGGAAACGTGAGCCTAGAAGATGAGCATCACGAAGGACCTCCTCGAAAGCTGGATGAGTCTCAACTCTTGCAAATTATCGAAGAAGATCTCAATTGCACCACTCGGGAGTTGTCGGAAATGTTCAATGTTCATCATAGCACCATTGAAGAGCATTTATATTTGATTGGAAAGCGAAACAGATGCGGAAAATGGGTCCCACATGAACTGACCCTCAATCACAAAATTGCCCGAATGAACACTTGTTCAATTTTGATTCAAAAATCAAAAGCGCATGATTTTTGGAAATCAATTGCTACTTCTGATGAGACATGGATATTATATGATAACGTTAAGCACAAGCACCAATGGCTATCACCAAAGCAAGCCCCGGTTGTCACGTCAAAACCTGAGCTGCATGGAAAGAAGTTGATTGTGTGCCTATGGTGGAACTATCTTGGATTGGTTTATTTTGAACTGCTCAAACCGGGTAAAACTGTCACAGCTGAACTCTGCATTTATTGTTATTTATTGTTTTTTGAAATAAAAATTCGGGTCAAAAAAATCGCATTATTTTCCCGCCAACCTAATAAATGCAAATTAGGAAATCAAACAGAAATTAACTTGATCTCTTTCTAGATATTTAAACTTATGTTTTTGCAAAAAAACCAGGAAAAAAATCTAAATGTACCAACAATTCGAATAATTCGAATTCAATAATACAAAGCCCTATTAGCTCGCCTTTCGCGTTCACATCAAACGAGTTCCGCACTATTATGTCTACGTGATCGCTCTACCGTGCTTTATTTTGACAACCCTTTCGATCATTGGAATGTTTTGGACGCCTAACTTCAAAAAAGAGCAGCTAGTGAAGGTATGATGAGTCAAAGAATCACGAAATCATCAGGCTTTCGTAGAGTACTAGAACATCAGGCATCCTTAGAGAACGCTTTTGTATTACAGGGTGGCCGATAATTATAGGTCCCAATAAAAAGCTTTGTAGATAGACAAAATTAAACTTTGATGAGCAAACTTTTAAAAGCTTTATTTGTTATCATTGAACAACAAATTAACAATGAAATTCAAAGCGATCACCATTTTTAGCCGTGCACGCTGTCAAGCGTTTAGGAAAAGCGTCCAAGGCGACCAAATAAATATCATCGAGTTCATCCCATGCTTTCAGAAGACTTTTCTTCAAACTTTTATCATTTTTATGCGGTTTTGAGTAGGCTTTTGCCTTAAGGACGGACCAGGGAAGTTCTGTCCTTTTTAGAATTCTCTCTAAAATCTTCCTGATCGATTTTATTTCATAAGTGTTTATAGCCAAAAGATAGCCAATATTTTACAGAATTTAAATCTTATTACAGATTTGAAATAGCTTCTTTAAATTTGGAGTTATCGCTTTTCTATGCTTTTCGAAAAAAGCTTCTGTGGCATATTTTTGCGCTTTTTCATTGCAAAAATTTTTATAAAATTACAAACTCATTGAAAACTGTTGTTGTACTTCCAGTTTAGATCTAATAAACAATTTTTTGAATACTCCTAATCATCTGAGTTCTAAGTTTTACAGATTTTCTTACACTGGTAATACTAATAAGTGGTGCGATCACAGAGCTCACGCAAATTGTGATAACTCAAAATTTAAAGAAGCTATTTAAAACAGGTAATAAGATTTCAATTCTGTGGAAAATTGTCTATCTTTTGGCTATAAAGACTTATGAAATAATAACAATCGGAGAGATAAAATTTGATTCAGAAAAACGTTTGAAATGAAATCAGAAAATTTTTTGATGCTCTTGTGAACTGAGGCCGGGTTCACCAGCGAAATAATTTTTTAGATAAAGTCGAATAGATAAAGTCCAACAGATAGTCTAATAGATAGTCTAATAAATAAAGTCCAATAGATAAAGTCCAATAGATAAAGCCCAATAGAAAAGGTCCAATAGATAAAGTCGAATAGATAAAGTCGAATAGATAAAGTCGAATAGATAAAGTCCAATAAATAAAGTCCAACAGATAAAGTCCAATAGATAAACGGGTACTTATCGATTAAATCTCCAATGATTAGGTTAGTTAAATGGTTAGAGCGTAAATTCTCCTTATTTTAATCGTGGGGATATCAATGGCAAGTATAGGTAGTTTAGTTTTGTAGAGGAGAAGTTTTTTTTATAGAAGTTTACTGACAAAGCGAAATTTCAAAGCTATCCCAACACAAAGAGCCTCCAACATCAAGCAATTCAAAGAGAATTTAAAAAGGACAGAATTTTCGCGGCACTCTGTACCTTGAAATTTACCTTGAAATTTCAGTTGAGCATCGGTTTGACGAGCCTCGTCTCGATGACCGTTCTCTTGGATATGCTCTCAACATCGATCCCCAAAACGAATGTGTTTCCACTGCTGGGTGAGTGGGTGTCGAACTAAAGATATGGGGTGACCGTAAATCATAGCAATACCTAATTGTATTGAGATCCATTGTATGCTTTAGGTATCTACGTGGTGACTTGTGTTGGCATCACTTCAATTGCTTCCATCGCTGTCGTCATCTGTTCACTTCCTAATTCATCAAAGAAAACTCAAGAAGGAAATGATCAGAAGCAAGAAGCACAAAACGCCTATAGATATCTTTTTATGATCAAACATTTCATCACACAACGACATTTTCTTTTTCATATTTTCTTTCAATCTCTGAACATTATCGGATTCATCGTTTTCCTATCGTTTTGGGACTGAATTCTTTATTTGAAACCCGTTTTTTTTCATTTTATTTCTGTTCATGACATTTAATGTCACTAATTACTGTATGTTTTAAGAATAAAAATAGTTTAAAGCGTGTTGCTTAAAAAATCAACAATAGCAAAGTATTTCAAAGACGATAGGGTTGCCGCAAATTATCGCCTCGCAGTTTTTGGACTATAACTTGGCTCTAGCTCCGCGAACGCGTTTAATTTCGTTTTAATATGAAAATTGTAATAATTTTCTACGAGAATTTCTTTATACAAATTGTAGAAGGCTTTTGAGATTTTTATTAAACGTTTGAAAGAGGCGCTCAAACAAAACAAAACAAAAACAATGACACGCAACATTATTCAAACTCTTGTTAGTTCATTTTCAAACTGAAATCGGTTTTCTAGCGCTCAACATTGAGAATTATACCATCGACCACGCAAAATCGGTCGTATATTTGGGGAAAATTTTCGATGACACATTGCCGACAAGTAAAAAGGATAGAAGGAAATGATTTATTTTTGTTATATGAGTATACTGTGCTGATAAAAATTCCAAAATAACACACAAAACACTTAAAAAAATGTCGTTTGAAAGCGTTAACACACAGAAAAGAACACATAGAACATGAATACAGTCGAATCTCATTATCGATTGCCTCTACTAGAGCCTCTCACATCACACACGCAAAAGTACGATAGTTTAAGTAAAAAGAAGCAAAAAGTACGATAGTTTGAGCAACGTTTAACAAACCAATCCCTGAAAAATCACGTTTTGAGCGAAATGACGTCATTTAGAAAACAAAATGATTCGTAATTTAAGTAAAAAGTGACGTTATATAGGTTTTTTTATTATTAATTTGTTCAGTGGATCAAATCAAAAACAATGACGTTATACAGATGTGTCAAGAGGTTCGATTGTATATGAGCATGAAGTTATCTGCAGAATGATCAAAAAGCTCTCGCACACTTGTAAATAATTCATTTTCTAAATGAAAGCTAAAACAAAATTTGCTGTGTTTTATAGTATTTTGAAGCTGAAATTCTGATGAACATTCCTATAAATAAAACATTTCGATCAGAAAGCCTTTTCAAGAAGTCTTGCACTGCATTTGAGGCAAACCGGCAAAGCAAATTGATCCCACATTTACGCTTCGGTAACTAGCAGAATTTTTTAACGTTAACCATGTGACAATTGAAAACCATTTGCATCAAGTTGGGGAAAAGGTTCGATATGGAAAATAGGTTCCACATGAGCTGATCCAAGGTAAAAAAATAGTGCTTGCCTGCTTGCTCCATCTTGCTTCAAAAGTGCAAATCACATGTTTTTTTTGACAGAATCTTGACTTCTGATGAGACTTGGATCAGTTATGACAATGTCACTCAAAAAATCAATGGCTCTTTGCTGGTGAAGCCCCGCAAACCACCACTAAGCCCGATGTCCATGGATCGAAGATCATGCTCTGTTTATGGTGGAATTTGAACGGATTGGTGCATTATGAAGTGCTAAAATCTAGAAAAACAGTCGATGCAAATCTTTATTCGAAATCTTTGCTCGAAATAACTAGTGAGTTTTAACGAAACTTTAATGAAATTGGGGATCCAACCGTTAATACTCCGATTTCTGCACGATAACGCTAAATAACTCCCATCGTTGACCAGGAAAATGTCATTGTATTGAAGTGTTTTGTAAGAACGGAGAATCTCTTCATCTGTCGAACAAATTGTGAAGTATTTCACTTCAGTTCCACATCAAGTTTTAATAAGTTTCTTCATTGTTTTATGATCTCGTCGTTCGATGGCCATTCGTGCTTGTCGACTCAACGAAAACTCTATTAATCGATTGCCAGTTTGCTAAATTGATGGCTTATTTTAAATTTCTGGTCGAACAGTTTTTTGGTGAACACAATAGCTTTGTAGCGATGAAATTCTAGCTTTTTCCTAACTCCGCTATCTTCTATCGCTTGCATTTAGCGTGAAGCTGAATTGATACAGTTATAACTCTAATTTACACAAATGCTGATTTTAATCTATTAGGTTGTCCAGTTATGAATGCGCGTTTTTAAGATAACAGCTCTTTATTTTAAAACCAACAGTTTAACAGCTCAATCAACAATATATTCACCATTTGTTAACAATATTTGTTTCCATCTTCCATGCAAAGAATGAATTCCCTCGGCGTAAAAATTGGCTTGTTTTAAGATAAAGAAGTCGGCTAACCATTTTTCGACCTCTTGAACATCTTTGAACCTGTTTCCAGCCAAATGGTTTCGCATTGAGCGAAATAAATGGTAATCCGAAAGAGAAATATCCGGAGAATATGGCGGATGCGGGAGAGGTTCCCAGCGGGAGAAGTCTTCGAGTTTTTCCTGAACAATCTTTGCAACGTGTGGACGGGCGTTATCTTGTATGAACTTTATGTTCGAAGGATCAAGACCAGTAGCAATACATTCTTCACTAGTTCCAGTTGCTATGCATACGTTTCACTCGTGATTGCATGTCCAGGTACAAGCAGCTCAAAATAAACAATGCCTTGGGAATTCCACCAGACAGTAAGCATTACTTTCTTGCCATGGAAGTCGGGTTTTGGTGTTGGTATTGGCTCCTCACCAGGTTCTAGCCATGGCCGTTTTTGTGTAGAATTATCATATTGAATTCATTTTTCATCGCAAGTAAGGATTTCATCGTAAAACCCAGTATTTTTTGCCAAACGAAGAATACCCGCCATAGTGACACGAGTAGCTTTATTGGCATTGCTGAGAAGATGGGGAACCCATTTCCCTTGTCGGCTTGTTTTCCCCAATTGATTTAAATGCTCGGAAATTGTTTGAGGGCTTACTCTAAATATTTATGCAAGTTGGCGTGTAGTTTGTCGAGGATCCGTTTCGATCGCCTGCTTCAGTACTGCGTTATCGAGGTAGGAGGTCGTCGTTGGTGGTCTTCGTCTTCCAAAGGTTCATTTCCTTCTTGAAATCGTTCAAACCATCGGCGACACTGGCTTTCCGAAATAGCATCTTCGCCAAATACTTTGCAGAGATCTCGATGAGATTCAACGGCATTTTTGCCCAATTTGAAGTCATACCAAAGACTAGCACGAAGACGAAACTTCGTCTCGGTCATCTAAACACGGAAATTAAATCAAAAACGAATTAGTTTAACGTCAAAAACACGAAAAGTTGTAATAAATAAGAAGTCTTGAACATCATATAGAGAATAGGTTTTGATAAAATTGTATAGCCCTAAGGTACGCTGTTCAAGAGCAGGCGCGCATTCATAACTGGACAACCTAATATATGCAAACTAGTGATAGGATCTATATGCAAACTAGAGATAGTGGGATAATAGGAAAAGTCTAAATGAACTCATGAAGACATCCATTGAAGCAATTTTATGTTAATTCAAGTATCTATGCAAATTAAAGACAGAATAGTGGGAAAAATTAGGGACAGGAAATACTCACTGATTCCATTTCTCGAAACGAATGAATACACTTTCAACCACCATCCATAAAGCACTTGTCTGTAGGTTCTTGTGGAAAATATGAGGATCAACGAGTTGAAAGCCGAGTGAAAATACGTGAATAGGACAAAAGATGAACTGACTGAAACAAAGGGGATTGTTAATATTAATAAACTGTTTACCAAACTCTGGTAGAATACTTATGTTAAGCATTGCCAAGATCAGCATAAAGCACGGTAATAAAAAGGTGAAGAATGTGTTGAACATCTAAAATGATAATTTGAATATTATTGTCTATATAAGTCTGATTTTACAATTTAATTAGCTTACCGATTCAATAGAACACTTTAGAGTAAAGTTAAAAGCTATTCACAAGGAAATGTTAACTGGACCAATGGATTTCAACTGGATGTGGAGGCCAAAAGACATGTGTCACAAGTTCTTCGACGCCGATTCCGAATCTGCTTCCCGTTTCTTCTAGGGAGCACTCTGTCAAAATTTATAAGCATGCAAATTTTTGGATGGGCTTTTAAAAACCACATCCCGAGTTTATAAGCAGATCCGTGCAGTGGTGGCTGAATGGCAGTGGGTTGGAATACAAGACAACAACTCACTAGTTCGAGTCGGCCGTTCTATGTTTTTCTTTTGTTTTTTAGATTTTTTGAAAAGTAATTGTTCTCCGTTTCAAATACAGGTTTATTTTAAATTGCTTTTTTTAAAGATCTTTAATAGGACCCTCCTCGGGCCCAATAGCAAGACGCAGCTCGACCAAGACCTAAGAAGTACGGATATGCGCCAGCTCTCGGGACTCAGAGATCCAGTGGAATTGATCGAGAGAAGAAGACTCAGATGGGCCGGCCACGTGGCTAGAAGAACAGACGACAGATGGACGATACGGATCACAGAGTGGCTACCAAGAGACCAAAAGAGGCCCATCGGAAGACCAGCAACGAGGTGGAGCACAAGAGTGGCAGCAACGGTCAAAAAAGGATGGCTAGAGTCGCAGCAGCACAAGCAAGTCGAAGACTCCGGACCAGGAACGACCAAGATAGGGAACACTGGATGACAATAGCAAGAGATAGAGAAATCTGGAAGTAGGTTGTGATCTGCGCAAATAGGAACACCTAAGTGCGAAAGACAGATAAAAAAGCTTTAATTTTAACTATTAACATAAAGCAGCTATTACACAAAAACGCCTTAGATTTTCGGAATCAGCGAAATTTTGCTACAAAATAGGCTAGGTTCCACTTCGAAACTCGGTGATAAATAAATAACAATTCCTAGTTAGGGTTTATTAAACTGAATCGATAAATTAGTGTTTTGAAATCAGATTTAAATTGCTCACCCAATAGTATTCAAGCTACAGTAAAAAAGCTATAGCTACAGCTAGAAACAAAAATCAATGTACCTGTAATAAATAGATCAACAAGAAGTAATTCTGCATCTCGACCGTCTTTCTTGAATGTTCATTATGATGTTTCAAATGACGTGTTCGCATCGTTTGACTAACACCCAAATAGCTTAAAAATAAGCATGTCACAATTTGAATGAAGAAGATAATGGCACAAAAAGAATAAGTGATGACAACGATGGGTCCATTTTGAAAGACGAGAACTACTTGTTCATCAACGAAATCACTGGAGTTGATACCATTAAAATAACCCTAGATTAATGTAGATTTATATTTAGTAACAATAATTGTAACAATAATAACATAGTAACAATAGTTCAGTCACAAGCTCAACATGTTTGACCTAGCCTGACAGCACAAATCACCTCAAATCAAAATTTTAGTTTAAATCTACTTCTACTAAATCTCTTACCGTCAGCCTTTCACTAGCTTACCGTCAGCCATTTCACTAGCTCACCTGACAATCGATGTAACTCCCCATACAGACTTTCTTAAAATAACAACCATAAAATACAACAGCAAGCAAGGCAAGTAAACTAGTTGTGACGACGATTACAGCTTTGATGTGAAGAAATCTCACCCAACGTTTTGATTCAAATGGGGACAATTGAACTGCAAAATCTTTTACAGTAGATAATAAATGATTAATGTTTCAATTTCTTTTGTATGGTTTTTGTTTTTTGACATAGTTTAAAATGTCTTTTGACCAGTGGAACGACACGAAGATCTTAATTATTTTAGAGCTACTTATTTTTACTTTTAGAGCTAAAACCCAACTTATTAGTAAATAAACCTCGATAGCGAGGTGAATGTTTAGGTCCCAATGAGCCAATATAGTGTTTTCTGAACCTCGCTAGTAAATAATCCTTTTAGTAAATCGATTCTTTTTGATCTCGTTGATTATTTACTAACGAGGTTCGATTTTATACAAATTATCATTGAGAACCAACTGTACAGGGTGTTCTAAAGCTACCCGAAACGATGTAACCAAAGTTTATAGAATCACTTCTTCTTAAATCAAAAATAGAAACATAACGATGTATTCTTTAGCAATATGGTTTCCTTGTTAGTACGCAACTCAATAATTTGTGTCATCAGTTCAATACTGGCTAATAATCAGTTCAATATTGGCCATTAGTTCTTTCATTCACCTTTGTATATGGCGGAAAGCTGCAAAGCTGAAAGAATAATAATAACCCATAAAAGATCGATTGCCTAAAAGATAACTGTAAATATTTAGTGGTAGTTGCTTTACAAATGCAATTAATGGAATAGGAGGCGGCAGATAGATTGGAGAAATCTGAAAAAAGGCCCCAAATGGTGGCATGAAGATTGGTTGACTGATTGCTGCGGCGAGATCCATCAGTTGTGCGGATATCTGAAAACGTTTAGCTTTTATTTAATTTGTTATTAGAATTAAAGGTATTTAGCTTAGCTATTGGCTATTACTAGATATTAGACATGGGCATCGGGTCGGGTCGGGTCGGGTCAAAAGTGACCCGCGACCGCGAATTTTAGGAATTAGGTTTGGCCAACTGGAGACTCGTTATGGATATCGCTCGGCTCTGAAGCTAGCGGCTACAGACAGGGAGTTACACATCGAAAAAGGATCGGATCCAAGCAGTAACTTTTCTAATAGCCCTAGTGAGTTTGTTTCTTACGGATCGGATTGTAGTTATTCGAGCAGTTATTGATAAGTAATTTGTTGTTGTTAATTTTTGTTTGCCTATTTCATTGTTGCGTTCGAATAAATACCTATGTTAATAACATTTCTTAAAAAACATTTGATAAATTTGCATTTATATTTTAACCTGACCCGACCGCCAAAACTCGAAAATGGACATGTCTGCTATATACATCAGCCACTTGTCTAACGGATTTTTTTGACTAACTTATTACATAGACCTGTCTTTGTCTTTGTCTAGTTCAGTCAACAAAAATACTGATACTCACCGCTATACAAAACATGTACTGTCGATGCCTTTTTGTGGCTAGACTTTTGTGTCTAATCAAGAAATACATTGCAAAGAAGAAGAATAATGTTGTGATAACACTAAATCATTTTGGCTACAAAAAAACAAACAACTTACCACAAGCCTTCAAATAAACAATTCAGTAAAAATCTCTGGGCAGCAGTTGGATGAAACATTTCACGTAAATCGATATGTTTAAGAAAATTTTCTTGAAAACCTTAGTCTCTATCTTGGAATTTAAATCATTAAATGTTTCACCTGTTCTTAGTAAATCTAACATCAAAAGGAGATGGAGACGGAGACAGAAAAGGAGAGGAAAAGAAAAGAGAGAAAGGGAAAACATTTTTTTATCGTAATTGTTGAATAATCTGTGTTTGACGTTGATTTTTTTGTTTATGCAAGCTGAACTCCATTAGTGCAGTGTAATTTCGTTCAACAATTTGATTTAACCCTATTTGAGGCCCGTTAGCCATTTTATCAGCTTACAAGTTTGTTAAGTTTTCTAAGCTTTACTAAGTTTGCTTCAAGTAATTTCAGTTTACTTTGTCAGTTTTTTAGTCTTTCAGTGTATCAAATGACTCATTGTAAAAGAGTTTTTGAATAAAAATGAGTGATGAGTAAAAAGATGTAAATTTAGCCGAGATTCAAGTAGCTTCTGGTTAGCATAAGCCACCAAAAAAGAACTCTTTTTGTTTGTTCATCTTCTAGAGCTTCTGTTTTTCGAAAAAGCTTCACTTTAGGCCATTTCAGGCTACAAACGGCTATTTTAGGTTTTGATTTTAGGCCAACATCATCTCTGGAATTTTCCAATGCTTGAGCCCATTTACTCGTTTTGTTTCATGAGTTTCTTGCTGCCCCTACGGACCGAAATCCTTGGGATGAATCCAAAAATTCACAGCGGCCCCCTTGAGCACCCTTTTACGGGCACTTGGGATCCCATTTCGACCGACGGAGCACCCGCCATAATGGTCAAAGTGAGCCGGAACTGGGTTGACCAGTTCTACAGCCGAGGTTAGTTTTGGGAAGTTTAATTCCATCAAAACGTTTAATTCCATCAAAACGTTTAATTCCATCAAAACGTTTAATTCCATCAACTCGTTTGAGTCAGTTAGCGATGTGAGCCGGGATTTGAATGCTATCAATTAAGTTCTAGCTTTGAAAAACCCCATCAAATTGAATATTCAATCAAAACGAAATTAAATTAAGCACTTTTTAAGTTTAAAATTTTCAGTTTTTCAATATCTTTTTCTTTTTGATTTCATTTGTTTACTTTTTCAGCTTAGAAATAAATTTTCCCAGCAAAGACAAACAAGCAAACATTTCAATTGAAAGGCTAAGATTTTTGCTCAATTGCCTCAAGTCGAGAACTAAAAAAAAGCTAAAAGTTTATCTGATTACCTGGAGATTTTAATTGAGTTTGATTTTTGTTCCCGTTAATATTGATTGATACCTTTTGTCTTTATTTTAAGTTCATCAGTGCTAGTTTATCAGATATTCTTTGATTTATTGCCAGTTTATTGACAGAAAAGATAAAAACAGAATAAGAAATCGAAATCGTAGACACATCGTACAAAACTGGCCGAATGCGCGTACAATGGTCGCTTTTTCTACTTGGTGCCTTTTGTTGGACCATCGTCGACAACATGAGCAGCCCTCCAGCTGATCAAGATCATCTACAAAAAGGTAGTGTTCGTGTCGACTTGATAACAATAAATTTCCCCAATTTCGGTTAGGTCAGACTTTTTTAGAAGAACAAGACTGGAGAACTTGGGCAATCGGCCGTTTATGGGAGGAGAGGGAAAGAATTGGACACACACCGCTCATCAAATATCCCGTTTGATAATTAACTAATCGAGTCAGAGCCATATTTATCGTAGAATAGTCGTAGAATGTCCAAGAATTTCTGAGAAAGTCTATCTAAGAAGCTAAGAATTTCGTAGAATATCTAAGAATATCTAAGAACATCTAAGAAAGTCTATCTAAGAAGCTAAGAATGTCGTAGAATATCTAAGAATATCTAAGAACATCTAAGAAAGTCTATCTAAGAAGCTAAGAATGTCGTAGAATATCTAAGAATATCTAAGAACATCTAAGAAAGTCTATCTAAGAAGCTAAGAATGTCGTAGAATTTCTAAGAATGTCCTTTATTGAAATGCTGAAGTCTTGAGCCTAAAATAAGCGATTAATCTCACATTTTATAAATAAGAATGTAGTTAAAACAATGCCGAATAGAAAACGTTCAAACGAGCGCCAACAATTTCTCACAATCCAAAAAACCAAACCGGTTCAAGTTTTATATCAAAAAATTTCTTGCATTCTTGGCTACATGATGGGTGAAACAGTTTTTTAAAAAAGTTAATATCTCATAGATAAAATTAGCGTTTAAAATGGGTCTCTAAAGATATTCAGTTAACCAACAGACAAAGAAATGCCAATAGGGTGTGGTGGCCAAACGAGATATTAACCGGCGTAGAATTTTGCGCTGATTCCGAATCGGTTTTCCGTTTTTGCAACGCAACACTCTGTCAAAAGTTATAAACGCTCGAAGTTTTGTATGGAAGTTATAAGTTGACTTACCAGTGGGAAAAGATGTCGTGGTGGCCGAGTGGCAGCGCGTTTGAATTCGAAGCAAGGACCCATTGGTATAAAACTGGTTTTTGGTGTAAAACTTGAACGGGCTTGGTTTTTTGGATAGTGAGAAATTTGACGGCGCTGTTTTGTACGTTTATGGCGCTTTCTATCGAACACTGTTTTCTATCGTGGCGCTATAGTCTATCGTAGCGCTCTTTCTATCGTGGCGCTGTTTTAACTACAACCCTAGAAATGTTAAAGCTCTGTTTCTAGGTGCGAGGTCTGCCGTTTCTTCAGCTCTATTTGAAGGATGAGAGCGCTACTCCGACTCGATCACTCAAACATCGATTCGCGTGGGCTCTGGCGTTGTGGTCGGTTGTCGAGGGTTTGGTTGGAAAGCTGGGAAATCAGAAATTATTCACGATTCAATAGGTAACACGAAACTCGAGTACCTATGAGTCCTCGTCGGGAAACACGGCCGCAGCCGAAGCTTACATGTATTCGGCTATTGGGATCCCGTTTTATGCGGTGGTGAGGTGTTTAACTAAAGTTGGATCTCCTTTTAAATCATGATTAACTTAAATTAAATTTGTCAATTCATGCAACTTCAATTTCCAATTCTGCTTAAACAAACCACTTTTAGGTGTCGCGTAATCTCGAACAGGCAAAGATTGACAACATTCTCGGGAACAACGGCCAACTAATTAAGGTATAATTCTAACTATAATAGTCCGTCTAAATAGACTAGAATAGTGTTTTTTTTCTTAGACTGACGATAGTACACGAGGCCAATTAGCTAAAGAAACGGCTGCGCGTACCGGCGGCTTTTATGTGGATCAACACGGAAACGCCGAAAAAGCGGAGGATTTCACGGAAAGTAGGAGAAGATCAAGGGAAATGAAAGCAAAAGCAATGAAAGCAAAATTTTTCAGGTGGTGGCTATGGGCATGAGAGTGGGAACGTCTTTCACGAGGTTTTAGCGCAGTTGAGAGACGATCCCGAGATTCCGCGAAAAGCTGTTGATTACTTTGTGCACTGTGCTGGCACAGGTAGGTGTCTCAAGACAAAGGAGAGTTTTTATGTCAATGCAACGTGTTTCCACACGTTGCATTGAGTAGTTAGATTTTAAATACAGCATAAAATTCCAGTTTCTTCGTTCAAAATTCGTTCAGCGGTTTTCTTTATGTGCTCATTCTTCAAGATTTTTAAAAATTCCAGTTTTCTTTTTCTCAGATTATTCTAAAATACTCAAAATTGTTTAAAGTTAGCAAAAAGTAAACGAAAAACATAATGAAAGAAGCGGTTTGGTATTTGGTAGTTTGAGACTCGTTCACTTAGATAATGAAGTGAGCTGTGCAAGACTTGGTACGCAACCTAATATTTTGGGTACTACCTAATCTTGAAGTCTCTTACCTAGTCCAGCTCTTGGACGCCTCCTGAAAGCAGGGGATGCCCACTGCCCGCCACGCGGAGGTGGCTGGACGTCGAGCTGCGCCCTCCCCTGGCCTAATGCTCGACCCAGAGGGAAGAAGTGGGGGATGTGAAGGACATCCCCGCACATCTCCAATTGGCCATCATCTCCATCTTTGTGCGGTTGCGCAATCGCTCGCCGTCTGGCGCAGGGCGTTTACACAAGAGGGACCCCTTTCCTTCTTTTCCAGTCGATCTGTTCCGGTCCGTTTTAACTGGCCGTGTCCGAAGGGGCGCACGATTTTGGCGTGTACCGTGTTGTCGCCCATTTGGGGCAATGTGTGGGGATACCGATCGCTGATTTGGAATGGAACCTTCTCGTTTGAACACTCGTCTTTTTGCTAATGAAAAACCTTCAAAACAAAGCTTTTCAGAAAATTTCAAAAGTCACTTGCAAGAGAAATGGTGCTATCTAATGAAAAAAGCGTATTTCATTTGGTAGCTTGAGACTTATTCAATTAGAAAATGAATTTGGGTGAAAAGCTTAGTACTAAACCGAATAAAGATTTAAATTGTTTGCTTTAATGGTGACAGTAATTAAATGTGAAAGTCTAGAGAAAGAATTGATCATCAGCACACCAGAACATCAGAACATCAGAACAAACGCCATATCAAACTTATTAGGCGGTACGATCACCTCGGTAGGCCGTTATGTAGACCGCTACAATTTGCCAACAAAAGTCGTTTTGGTCGACACCGAGTTCTCGGTCTACTATGACTATGTGCTGAAGAACGGGTAAATTTGTGTTTGATGGTGGAGTTACAATTTTGAACAGCCACAAAATCGAGACAAGTCCAACACCGTCTACACCACCGGGAGTGCCCGGTGTCGGCTATCCGGCCGAAGCGGCACCAGCGATCTTCGGAAACACAACAAGGCAAACATTTAGACAAAATAAAGGGATTTTTTTTTGAACTTAAACTATACTTAACTTCTAGATTTCGTATTGTTTGGCTGATTTAAATTCGTTGAAAAAGTTCTTATAGTTTGGCCTCCGCTGTGATTGATGAGGTCATGAAAATTCCCGACATTGCGACAGCAGCTGGGTTTCGTGAGTTTCAGTGGGTTTAAAAATTTGCTAAAAATGTTAATAAACTTTAAAAAATGGTTTTCAGACAATTAAACAATGGTTTTCAGCGCAAGAGGTCTTCGAGGTGGGCCGAGTTCGGCTATGAACATGTTGGGGGCTCTTGAAATCGCTCTCAAAAACGCGTAAGTGATTTCTGCAATCACAAGAGAATCACAACTCGTTAAGACTCTGTTAAGAGCGTTGCAATCACAAGAGAATGACGACTCTTGTTAAAAGCTTTCAGGAAATCACGACGAGAGATCTCAATAGTGACCTTGTTGAATGATCCGGCTGAATTCTATCAAAACGACTACTTCAACGACACTTGGATTAATACGGCTTTCGCGGACTGTGGAGGATTAAAAGCTTTGGGTTTGTTTTCAAAGTCTACTACCGGGTAAGTCTACTACCGGGTAAGTCTACTACCGGGTAAGTATTTTGCGTAAGTAGATCGTGTAAGTAGATCACATTTTTGTGTTGACTACTAAGCCACAGATACACTGCTCCAAATAGCTGCATAATGATGCTGAACCCCTGAATTTTGCAGAAACGATTTCTAAAAACGGAACGAAATGAAACGAAAAATTCAGCTGCGATGAACCCGATGGCTTTCGAAGTTATTGACAGTTATTGGCATGATCTTAGGAAGGATAAACTTCGATATTTAAGACGGAACTGCAAGGGTGGTGGCATAATGGTTTGGGCAGCGATTTCATCAACAGGACGAGTGAAGTTATGCTTTGTTTCAAAGAAGATGAATGAATCGGATTATCGGGTCGTCTTGCAACGTCGAATTTCGCGTTTTTGGCGCCGGAATCGAAACAAAAGTTTGATTTTTATGCTGGATGGCGCTCCGATTCACAGATGTCGTTGCACACGGTTGCAACAGGAATTGTTGCAACAAAAGATGGTTTTTTATGTTGGATGGTGCTCCGATTAACAGATGGGGTTGCACACAGGAATGGCTGCAACGCAAGAGAATCCCGCTTCTTTCCTGGCCGGTGTATTCTCTTGACTTGAATGTTATCGAAAACGTATGGGGATTTATGGTTTACAAAATTTAAGACGGAAACCAGACGTATTGAAGCGTTAATAAGCTCAAGCCTGCCATTACCGATGCGTGGCCCCAGGTCGATCAGAAATTGATTGATAACCTCTACCACAGCTTCGATAATCGAGTTTTTCAGCTAATTTAGCGGAATGGAGCTGTTACTGATTATTGAATTAGAAATTCGCGCTCAATTATTATGTCAATTTCTATGCAACTTTGGTATTAATACACATTTTAGTACGCTAAACTGGCAACTTTTCTCTTTTAAAACTTTGGTTACTTTGGTAAACTTTGGTTACTTTGGTAAACTTTGGTTAAAACTTTTTAGAAATCGTGTTCTGCATTTCTGCATTTCTGCAAAGGTCAGGAGTGCGGCTATCATTATTTGCGGCAGTATTCTTTCTTTTCTCTTAGGAAATCAGATTGATTCTCAGCAATGCTACATAAAAATTCCAAAGTTTTCCACATTTAGATTGTTGGAGGAGAGTGATCGCCTCCACACTTGATCGAGGCACTCCATTCATCGAGAATGGCATGAAAGATTGCAAGTCAAATTGAGAAAAGCCAGAAAATTTTTACCAATTAAAGTATGAATATTTTTGGGTATTCATGTTATATTTTTGGGTAAATACAAAGACAATAAAGACATACAAAGACAATACAAAGATAAAGACAAAAAACAAATCCACGACAAAAAAAACAAAAGACAATTTTTTGTCGATCTTTTATCTTGGTTAGGAGACTCTTTGACAATCTCTAGTTGTTTCATTTTATCTCTTTTCTCTTATCTTTCTTTCTTTTATCTCTTTTCCAAGAGTTTGCCTACATGAATGAACTGAAAACATGGGATATGATATGTGCTTTACTTTGATACTTGTGTGCTTATGCGCTTTACTTTGATCACTTACAAATCTTTTAGGAATCGGCGATAACATCACGTGTTGAATCACGTTGTTCACAATAATGCCAGCACGTGTTGAATCACGTGCCACTTTGTAAACAATTCCGCATTCATTCATTTATTGACTTTGCTTTACATAGAATGCTGATGAAGGACTTGAAAAAAAGCTAGACTTGAAGAAAAGAAATGCTGAACCTGACTTTGATTTGAAGTAAACAAAAAACAAGTAAATTCCGCAAATATTAGCACTTTTATTGTACATTAGTAAACTACTGAAGGAATTCTGAGAGTCAGATGATTATCAAGTTTTGTTTGTTATTAAGGCAATTGTTATTGAGGTTTGACTGTATTTCAGGAATCGTAACATATATAGGGTATCAAGGGAGAATTCACACAAATTTCTTTTAGATAATCATCTCCACAACCGGCCGCAGCTCTTGTGATTTGTCGCCAAACCATCTGTGAACCGTCGCTTTCCCGATTCCATAAAACGTCGGAGAACGCCAATGCGTTTGAAGCGAACGCTTGACAGAAGTCGCAATTTGTGTAGACATTTGAATGACTCGCAAAAGCCTTTTGCTCAATTTCAGCACAACTTGTAGCATTTAACTGGAAAGTTCTTTAAAGAAATAGGAAGCTATTTGGGTCAACTATTTGATTCAGCTATTTGGGTCAACTATTTGATTCAACTATTTGGGTCAACTGCTTGAGTTTAAAAATGTCTATCTAAATGCTATGTCTATCGTATCTATTAAAAAATAAGTCAGCATTTGTCTATCGCTTAAAACTTGGTTACAGTTACAATTGAGACATTGTAATGGGTATCAAACAAAACTTGAACAAAAAACTTTATCTCACAAGAGCGCAACCAACCCAACTTTCCCAGAGAAAACACAAAATTAATACTAAAAGAAGAGGGAAATTACCGTAAAGTCGGCTTTTGTAGCCTAGCTCTCTAAATTTGGTTTCTTATCTCTCAAAGTTTGGTTCCTCATCTCTCTATTTCATTCAGCAAAATTGAGACGTTTTTGCGATTGAGACGTCGCAAAATAGCTTTTTCCCAATTTAGTCTTTTTGCACATTGTAATTTGCATTAAAACTTCATATATAAATAGCCTTTGAGCTATTTTGGTGAGAAAATTGTCACAATAACAGAAGAACAGACAGGCAGACAACTTTTTAAAGTCATGCTTTTGTAGAAACATACCAGAATGTTTGCTTTTAGATAATCGAGTAGCCCAGGGCGAACACAGTCAATAAAAGTCTGACCAATTGGATCAAATCGTTGATAATACTCTGAAAAATAATTTTAACTTACTTCAATTGTTTTTAACTTCAATTGTTTTATTTAAATTACCATAAAAGCGAGAGCAAAAGTGAAATCCATAATTTATTAGATAACCATTTGGACCACAATGAACCAGATTCTCGATACATTTATACTCATTACACCCGTCACATGTCGACGAATGAAAATTCAGAGAAAATGATGTGGATTTGGTCGAATTTTGATGAGGTCGAAACAGAATAAATGAAATAAATGAAATGGCTGACAGTGAAAGCACAGCGATAATAATAGCAATGGTTATATAATGGGGGGATCTCGTGTTGTGTGATTTGAGAAGAAGTGGACCAAGCTCATTATCCGAAACTCGGCTCATTTCACAAAAAGCAGATAAATAATAATGTTTGCTGTCGTGCGAATAATTTCTTTCAATATTCGGCAGTGTATCTTATCACCAAATGATCAGAAAGAGGGGGTGGGATACGGAAAAAAGAATTTTTGCTTTCTACAAGGTGGCCGCCTCGCCTCACAGTTTATCGCCTCGCAATTTTTGGGCTATACCTTGACTGTGGCTTCACGAACCGGTTTAATTCCATTTTAATATATTTAATACGAGTCATTTGAAACACTGAAAAACTAAAAAACTGAGAAAGTAAACTGGAATTGCTTGAAGCAAACTTATAAATAGCTGACAAAATGGCTAACGGGCTTCAAATAGGGCTAAATTAAGTTGTTGAATGAAATTTCGCTGCACTAATGGAGTTCAGCTTACAAAAACAAAAAACACAGATTATTCAACAAGTACAAATAAAAAACCTTTCCCTTTCTCTCTTTTCTTTTCCTCTCCTTTTCCGTCTCCTTTTCCCTCTCCTTTTGACGTTCGATTTACTCAGAACAGGTGAAACATTTAATGATTTAAATTCAAAAGTAGAGACTAAAGTTTTCAAGAAAATTTTCTTAAGCATATCGATTTTAGCGAAATGTTTCATCCAACTGCTGCCCAGAGATTTTTACTGAATTGTTTATATGAAGGCTTTTGGTAAGTTGTTTGTTTGTTTGTAGCCAAAATGATTTAGTGTTATCACAACATTACTCTTCTTCTTTGCAATGTATTTCTTGATTAGACACAAAAGTCTAGCCACAAAAAGGCATCGACAGTACATGTTTTGTATAGCGGTGAGTATCATTGACTGAACTAGACAAAGACTGATACAGGTCTATGTCATGAGTTAGTCAAAACAATCCGTTAGACAAGTGGTTTATGTATATAGTAATAGCCAATAGCTAAGCTAAATACCTTTAATTCTAATAACAAAATAAATAAAAGCTAGAAGCTTTCAGATATCCGCACAACTGATGGATCTCACCGCAGCAATCAGTCAACCAATCTTCATGCCACCATTTGGGGCCTTTTTCCAGATTTCTCCAATCTATCTACCGTCTCCTCTTCCATTAATTGCATTTGTAAAGCAACTACCACTAAATATTTACAGTTATCTTTTAGGCAATCGATCTTTTATGGGTTGTTATTATTCTTTCAGCTTTGGAGCTTTCCGCCATATACAAAGGTAAATGAAAGAACTAATAGCCAGTATTGAAATGATTATTGGCCAGTGTTGAACTGATGACACAAATTATTGAGTTGTGTACTAACAAGGAAACCATATTGCTAAAGAATACATTGTTATGTTTTACAGTTGGTTCTCAATGATAGTTTGTATACAATCGAACCTCGCTAATAAATAATCAACGAGATCAAAAAGAATCGACTTATTAAAAAGATTATTTACTAGCGAGATTCAGAAAGCACGATATTGGCCCATGGGAACCAAAAACCTAAACTCACTTCGTTATCGGGGGCTTATTTACTAATAAGTTGCTTTTTAAAAATGAAGCTCTAAAAGAATTGAGATCTTCGTACTTATCCACTGACCAAAAGACATTTTAATCTATGTCAAAGAACATAAACCATACAAAAGAAATCGAAGCACTAATACATTTATTATCTACTGTAAAAGATTTTGCAGTTCAATTGTCCTCATTTGAATCAAGCAGCTGGGTGAAATTTCTTCACATCGCAATTGTAATGGTCAGCACAACTAGTTTACTTGCCTTGTTTGGTGTTGTATTTTATGGTTGTTATTTTAAGAAAGTCTGTATGGGGAGTTACATCGATTGTCAGGTGAGCTGGTGAAATATTTGAAAGGCTGACGGTAAGTATTGGGTTGGTGAACTGAAAACTGCGGGACTTTGAACTAAAATTTATTCAACATAAAACCATGAATTCATTCCAAATAATTTCCATTATTATTGACGACTTCTGCCCATTTTACAGGCAATTTGCGGATTCCACTTTCGTAGTAGGATTTTGGTTTGTGTGTGATACAAGTGTGAGACTCAAAAATGGAGGACTGGAGATGTCAGCTGTCAGCCCAGTTTGAGCACTTTCTTCAAAAGAAACCCGTTTTGGTGTCAATAGAAAAGTTGTAGAGAATCAAAAATTAGGCTTGTAGCCAAATTTCCAAAAAGATACACTTAATAGTTTCGCTTAAAATGCAAGTTTCGTATTTGTAAATGTGAAAATTCGTAAATTTGGCATTTCTTGAAAAACAGTTTTTGAATCGTTCTGAAAATTTTGATATAAGCTTAATTTTTGATTCTCTACAACTTTTCCATTGACACCAAAATGGGTTTTTTTTAAGAAAGTGCTCAAACTGTCACATATGACAATAGCCCGCAGTTTTCAATTCACCAACCCAATAGATTTAAAATAAATTTTGATTTGAGGTGATTTAAGGTATTAGGCTAGGTCAAACATGTTGAATTTGTGACTGAATTATTGTTACTATGTTACTATTGTTACAATTATTGTTACTAAACATAACTCTACATTAATCTAGGGTTATTTTAATGGGATCGACTCGAGTGATTTCGTTGATGAACAAGTAGTTCTCGTCTTTCAAAATGGACCCCTTGTTGTCACCATTTATTCTTTGGCTGCTATTATCTTCTTCATTCAAATTGTGACATGCTTATTTTTAAGCTATTTGGGTGTTAGTCAAACGATGCGAACACGTCATTTGGAACATCAAAATGAACATTCAAGAAAGACGGTTGAGATGCAGAATTACTTCTTGTTGATCTATTTATTACAGGTACTTTGATTTGTTTAGATTTGATTTCTAGCTGTAGCTATAGCTATTTTTACTGTAGCTTGAATACTATTGGGTGAGCAATTTAAACCCGATTTCAAAACACTAATTTATCGATTCAGTTTAATAAACCCTAACAAGGAATTGTTTTTATTTATCACCTAGTTTCGAAGTGGAACCTAGCCTATTTTGTAGCAAATTTTTGGCTGATTCCGGA